TTTTTTTGTGTCGTCTATGTGCATCAATGCCCGCAAGCTAACAGTGTCTAAGAGGTCGCCAATGAATATCGGGAAGAGAAATGGTCCTAAGTTGGTCCCCTGTAAAACTCCCGATGTTGAGACTCGCTTACTCGCGTGCGCTCTTTTTACCTTGTACGAAACTTCATATTCTCAAGATGGTTTCTCAGCCAAAAGTGAACTTCATTTCCGCAACCTTCGCGATTAGGCACGAGTGGGTGCCATGTCGAAGGCTTTTAAAAAGTCTGTTTGCCAGTGATCATCTACTGTCAGCCTCCGCTATTCCCCTGGCCATGAGGCGTTGTGGTGTTTGAATGAACTAGTGACCTCTTGTTGTTGTTGAATGCTTGATTTCGAATTCCAAATACAGTACATTCGTTCGTGCTCATCTCGTGGTTCTTGATCCTTAAATACCTATACTTCTAATTATCATAGGCATGTAGATGTTTCACTCTCATGCGCTCTAGTTTGGCAAAGATAGGGTTCATCTTGCTTGAGTGTTTCTTTTATGACAATGTGAAACCAGACTGTGCCATGGTCACCTCTTCATACTGGTGTATGGATGAGGACATCCTCGACCAGGAGCTGATCAATTGTTAACAAATAATCCAGATTTGAGATTTTTATGTCCTTAGTCTATCTCGTAGCACTGCATACATGCTCAGTAAGCCTAGAGCTTCTAATGGCTGAGCCAAGTCGTCTTTGGAAACAACCAGTGGTAATACTGTGGTGCTGTGGTGCGAACTACTTATAAGTAGTATATAGCGTGAGTGTCAACGTAAAGTCTGGTAGCATAATATGGGGGGAAGATCAAGAAAGGAAGAGTCAGAAAACAATGGAATTTGTATGAAACGCATGAAGAGTGACAATGGATTGATGTTTGGCAACAGGAACAGTCCAGTTCCATAGGATGAACTGATCTTTTGCAAATGAACGATTTACGATATGGTTTTCCGATTTTACTGAGTAACTCTGTAATTTTCGAATAAATACAATTCGGTTGCCCCCACCTGTGTTCTCATTCACTACAATACTACCCTGATTGATGAGATTTAGAGATGGGGTTTTCGGAATATCCAGCTAAGAGTTTTTGATCAAACTCAATGAGTGGCAGTTGCAATTTGTCTTTCTGGGCCTTTTTACCTGACGGAGGTCGATAAGTCCTTCCGATCTAGTATTTCGTGCTATTTGTGTGTAAGCAACACCAACATAATTGTCACCTCAGTTAGTCGCGAGTTGTATAGCCGCTCAGATTTAAAATGGCTGTTTGTATATGCGGCCACTCCGCCCCCTGTTTGGTGTACCCTATCGCTTCGGAAGAGTTTCGTGCCTTGAACGCTCATTTAGTCGTCTGCCGCATATCAGTTAGGATTATTGTCTTCAGATCCATCTGAGAGCTCATATTCCTGATTTCTAACAGCTTACCCCTTAGTCCTCTTACGTTGCTTTATATATAGTAGACAAGGAATAAACCAACAAAGTCCAATACTTCAACTTGTAAAGTTGTTTCGAAATACCTCTCATTTTCTTTTAAGCAAAAATTGATTTTAGACATGTGAAATTTTTCAGTGTCATCAATTCTCCATTTTGTTTGGCGAGAAAAATAGGAGCATGTCAGGCGCGATCTTGTCACCAAGTAGTTCGAGTACTGTGATTAAGTCATCACTGGTCCATCCAACTTCTTATCAATATAGAAGAGCTGGGAGCAAACTAAACAAATTCATGTAATATTTATTGGCTAAGGAATAGACTTCTATTCTGTACCATACGCTGGCAGTTCTCAACCTCATTAGTTTTACATCCCAGGTCCATTCCCCTACTTGATATTTAGTAATGTCTCAACTGAATGACACCAATCTGTGCAGAGGCTGTAAAGATCTAGAGGTCCATTAAAAGAAAAAAGGATTCATTTCAGCCTCAAAGGGGCCTTACAGTTATCTAGAAACGGGCCGCGAAAAACGGGTTCGAATGTTACCAGTCGAGGTGTTACGTCATGAGTATTCTGCCCAACGTGACACAGACAACCATCATCCTCAATGGAACACGCACCGTAAGGTCAGCTCAGAACGGTATATCCGTCCACATACCACAGAGAACCTAGACAAAATATCTGACTTTATAGAGGATGCTGCAAAGTCTAACGCAACTCTTCATTTTGAGCGAAGACCTGGTTTAATCACCACATAACTGTTCATAACTCCATTCAATACATACACAGGGACACTCCTTGAAGTTCTCAATGTTATCGGTCCTCCTTCCCCTAATGGATAAAAAATCTCTTAGAATGAGTTAAGAGCAAAGCAACTAACTAGATGATAGGTTTATAGAATAAACCTCACGAATACATATTCTAGCTCTTAAGATTATTCACGTTGGCATAGGGTAATCAGATGTGTTCTTATGATGGCATGCAGCTCACAAAGTACGACGAATCGTCCAGATATGAACATCTCACCATCACGAGCCTCAAATTAAACCTAGAAAAATTGCATATTAAAGAGCAATACCTTGATTACGCATTTGATTTTCTCATAACCCCCTCAATGGACAGCTTCAATAGGAGACTTGACAAACACGTACATACATAAGGTTTGTCACCTCCTTCATGGATCAGCTGTGTCTGATGCCCTTATCACCACTTGTTTTTATTATCATTATTGCTAGCTTATCCTAATACCTTATTATCCTTCTTTCTTTATTTTTCCTTACACTAGAGTCATCTCACGCTACCTACACTTCCAATACATTTATCTACTTAATATAAGAATCGTTTTCCCTTTAGCACTAAAATTTTCTCTTTACCATTTTCCGATCTAGTAAAGTTAGAACTACTTGTATCCGGAAACCTTACTGCCGTTAGACAAAGAAATCTACTAAAATCACGGTGTGTAAAAATTCATAATAAACTACCGAATGCTTAGAATGGTTACAATTTCATGGCAAGACTATCATCCATAAGACACTTCTAAATGCCTGAAACAGTGCTGAAAGAACAAGAGCGAAACACGAAGAAACCAATCGGTTTATAATAGCTCGCAAGAAAATTATTGGATATTGTACCGCAATATTTGAAAACTCGAGGTCGCCGGCTCTGTCTTCTACCTGCTTCACGACATTTCTGTTTGAAGTCCCAAAGGTTTTCGCCTGCGTCTAACATCCTATTCTACTTCAGATAAAATGAGAGGTAATTCGTAACAATTTTTCTATGCTTCAATTATTGAAATGTTTGGCTTCCCTACTTCATTCCCGTAATAACTTGAGGAAATCTGCCACCATACAAGGTACTTCATTTACGCATTTCACGTGCCTATTCATGATAATTGTGAACGGCCTTATCACTTCAATATTATTCAATAGAATGTGCACACCTTTATCAATATAATATAAATCTCTTTGCATTGGGGAAAGTTTTGTCGAAAATATGGAAGTCGTGTTAGGCATTTCGAAAAAAATGCGACTAAAACCTCGAATTACAACTTGTGCAGTATCTACTACAGTACTCCTTGGGTTTCTATCATTTTTTTGCAAATACTCTAGACTTATGAAATGTATTTAAACTTCATATTCTTTTGTTCTCATTTAATTCTACCTCACTTCGCAAACTGCGCAGTTTGAAAAATGTGCTCTAATTGTAATGCACATAAGCGTGTTCAGTTATCGTACACTTGTGTTTGTTAGACTAGTAACCTACTTGACTTGTAAAACACATTGAATAACCAGATTAACTGTTCTTAGAGGATAATATCTGAACCTCTAATCAAGGCTTATTATCATTATTCAAGTACTTACAAGACTAACATTTTATTACTTGTTCAACCATCGACTTCCTCGTCCATCTGTGTTTTACGGTTTAAGAGTAGGTTGGAAGAGAGCTAGGGGCGACTGAACCGAAACATGACAAATCTATGAAGTCACTGACAACTGGATTAGGTCATGTTGGTAAGTGTCGACTACCTGGTTTGGGTGATGATGGTAATCGATGGTTAAAAATCTTAAATAGCATGGCTCAAAATCGTTTGCAATGGCACATTTACATTCATTGTTTGTGTTCTCCCAAATCCTAACCTGAATTCTTCATCAATTTATCTTTTTCTTTTAAGTTAATTTCACTAGATTATGCTTAACGAATAATATCATCGAACACTCATCTTGCAGGTTACTGCTAATATTTCTACCACTTCTACTTCTATGGGATTTGAAGTAACAATAGCATTTCTGTGGTGTGTTATGGAAACTTAAAATGATGTACGTATGTACATCAGTCTCAGGAGACCTTGAAAAACAGTTTGGGAACTCGAGTCGTTCGCATTAGCGATGCAGGATGATAAAATAATGTGAGAAGTGTTAGTTGTGAAGATAAGGGGGATGTTAGGGAGTGTAGGTAGGATTTGATTGTGCCCAATTTGATTTCATTTACTGTTACGACTATAAGGGCGGTTATCACTTCCCGGCTGGCCACACCGTAGAAGGGCGTTTCTTGAGGAACCTGAAAAAAAAGTTTATGAGTATTAGATCCGCTCTTTTAAAGCCCTTATTGAGCACCCTTACCGCCGGAGACGGAAATCTGTGAGGTAGGGTGAGGTGTGACATTTTAAGGGTCGACCTTTTCTAACCCCTCCTTCCTTTTGAGAAGGCAGCATCGCTGCAGATGCTGGTTGTCCGAGGGAAACACCTCACTGCTGTCACACCCCTCTACGTCTTCGCCCTCAGACCATGAGTAGCTGCTTTTAGTCTCATCGTTCCCCAATCGACCTGCCTGCCATGGTAGAACCTTCAGAAACATATGTTCCAGCCAATATAGCTCGGTTGGATCATAACAATAAGCAAGCCCGGCTACCACGTTATGCTAAGAGCTACAGTCGTATGCCCAACCACCGAATTCCTCGACGAGCTATGTTTTGTGGTGTAGGCGTAGGTTAGAAGAAAGCTAGGGACGGCCAAAACAAAACATGGCACAAATCTATGAAGCCACTGACAAGTGGATTGAATCATGTTGGTAGATGTTGGCTATCTTGTTGGGGTCCGTAAGACAAAAGTTACCAATGGTTAGAGACCTTGAACGACATGGCTCAGAATCGTTTGCAATGGCGCAGGTGCATTCACTCTTTGTGTTCTCTCAAATTCTAATCTTCAGAATTCCTCCTCATCTCTATATTTCTCTTTCAGAAGTCATCTCACCCAACTATACTTCTTGTATTATATTTTCGATCCCTAATATTCTCCATCACCAGCAGTTCTTCTACTGTCTCCACCACTGTGGGATTTGAACTGACAGTGGTGTATCTGTGCTAATACTATATGGCAACCTGAACTGATGTACGTGCGTACGTAGTTCTACGTTATAATTGATTGACTGACGAGGAATAATTTATATTCTCATACTGTTTACAGCTGGCATATATATGTTGATTTCTTTCCTTATGGTTCAGTCTAATTAACACCGGTAGTGTTCTACAAATAAAAATCAGATTTTGAACTTTTATGTTATTAGTATAAAAGTATTATCAATACTGTTATTAAGAATCGAGTGCTAGGTAAGAATGGCAGATCAACAGATGAAGTAATGAAACTTCATCAGTTGAGGTGGTTGGGACATGTGTTGCGTATGCCTAACCACCGACTGCCTCGAAGAGCTTTGTTTTGTAGTGTAGGAGTAGGATGGAAGAAAGTTAGGGGCGGCCAGACCAAAACGTGGCAGAAATCCATGAAATCATTGACGAGTGGACTTAGCCATGTCGGTAATTGTCGACTACCTGGTTGGGGTCGGCGAGATGATAATAATCGATGGTTAGAGACCTTGAATGACACGGCTCGAAATCGTTCGCGATGGCGCTGGTGCATTTATTCTTTGTATTCTCTCAAATTCTAATCTTCTAAACTTTTCTCACTGAATTATACTTCTTGAATAATAACTTCTAATCCTAACCTCTCCGATTACTTCTAATACCTTTACTACTTCTACTACTATTGGATTTGAATTGACAATTATATCTCTGTGCTAATGTGGTACGGCAACATGAACTGATGTACGCAGGTACGAAGTTCTACATTGCATCCGACTGACTGACTGACTGTATCGATGGTATTAGTCGACAAAACATACTTCATGTAATAATCGTCATGAAAGTTAGATATCACCCTAGTTTGACGGAATGCACTCAGCAAGAGACTATTATCACATAAAATGTACATTATTTACTTCAAGTCATGTGACAAAGTGTACTATATTGAAAACTTACATTTGTGTCAGTGAGTACTTGTGAAACCAGTTAAAAAAAATTAAAATATGCACTGAACAGTAACTTTAAGGTAGATATTTAACAACATTTTTTATAACATATATTCAACCATACATATTAACTCTATTAAACACACATTTTCTTATGATCGCTATCCGTGCTCGTGTATTTCATCCCGTGCATTGTACAAAAAAGTCTAGCTTGCGGCATCCGTCGCCTAATGTTTTTTCCAGGATAGGTTGCTGTTTTCGACCATGAACGCAGAATATGTAGCCATAAATGTTTACTCTAATCTTAACTTCCTGCAAGTTGTTCTATGAAATAAATCTGTAAACACTTATTCCCATTTCACATCTAGTTCTATGTAGGGTATAATTAATAGTCAGTTCCGACATGATTACGTAATCTAAAGTTGCCTTCGTGGTCTTCCAAAGATCTCTACCAATGATGTCTAACAGTTTCGTCACCTTTAATTTTATAAATAATTGTCACAACCTACGAATTGACACCACGATATTTTGATTTCTAAAATGTAGCTTCCTGTATTTTCAATAGAAATTTTAAAGGAAAAACCTATGCTGTAATTATTTCTGTTCTTTACAACTGTTGATGTACTTAATGTATACTTAGATATTGGTGAAAAGTTGTTGACGACCAAACCTCGATTTGATTGCATACATCCTCTATCTCAGCCACCTGTAATTATTGATTTACTGCTTAAATTGTTTTCTTTTGGGATGATATGGCACAGTGTCATCTCCCTGTGGCATTATGGCAGAAATCCATGAAGTCACTGACTAGTGGACTGAGTCATATTGGTAGATGTAGACTACCTGGTTGGGGTCCGCGAGACGAAAGTAACCAATGGTTAGAGACCTTGAACGATATGACTCAAAATCGTTTGCAATGGCGCAGGTGCATCCACTCTTTGAGCTCTCTCAAATCCTAATCTTCTCGTTTAGCCAGCACCTCTACCTTTGTCTTTCTAACCTTATCTCACTGAATTATACTTCTTGAATAATATCTTCGAACCCTAGTTCTTTTCATTACGATTAATACCTCCACTATCTTTATCACTATGGGATTTGATTTGACATTTGCGTCTTTGTGTGCTCATGTGATATGGCAACCTGAAGTTATGTACATACGTACGTAGTTCTACGTTGCAACTGACTGACTGACCCTATGGCATTGTGAATGGGGACTTCATTATAAGATGATGCCTTCAGTTCCTTGACTATCTGAATACTGATCATAACGATCGGCATCTGTTCCACATTATTTCTTATGCTTTATGCACTCACTCATTTATAACTTGAACTTGTATGAACGTGAATTGTATGTAGAACTACTATTCATTCAGTCATCTCAATGGCTTTGTTTAATTGACACATCTCAACTTCTACAAATCACTGTGAATATGGAAGAGTTACGATTCGCAAACTATGAATCCAGTTCAAGCCGCAACATTTGTTTGTTGTGCTTTACAAAATCTATTGGCTTATTTAGATTGTACCCGGCTGTTAGAGAAAAAGTTCGGAGCTGTTATACATCATGTAATTTCTCAAAAATTTGCGCTGATTTTTGAGGTATTACAGATTAATTAATATGTGATTAAGTTTAACATCGACGATATAGATAGATAAAGCCTTACATTTAATAGTCAGCCAGTCAGTTACAACGTAGAAATTCGTACGTAAGTACATCAGTTCATGTCGCCATACCACAACATCAGCACAGAGATGTAATTGTCAATTCAAATCCAATAGTAGAAGAGGTAGTAAATGTATTAGAAGTAATCGGAGAGGTTAGGATTAAAAGATATTATTCAAGAAGTAAGATTCAGTGAGATAAGTTTAGGAAGTCAAAAGTAGAGGGGTTGAAGAATCCAGAAGATTAGGATAAGTTCACTCGTCAATGATTTCATGGATTTCTGTGATGTTTTGGTTTGTCCGCCCCTAACTTTCTTCCAACCTATTCCTACACTACAAAACAAAGCTTGTCGAGGCAGTCAGTCAGTCAGTCAGTCAGATGCAACGTAGAACTTTGTACATAAGTACATCAGTTCATGTTGCCATACCACATCAGCACAGAGAAGTAATCGTCAATTCAAATCCAATAGTAGAAGAGGTAGTAAGGGAATTAGAAATAATCGGAGAGGTTAGGATTAGAAGATACTATTCAAGAAGTATGATTCAGTGAGATAAGTTTAGAGAGTCGAAACTAGAGGGGTTGATGAGTCCAGAAGATTAGGATTTGAGAGAACACAGAGAATAAATGCACCGGCGCCATTGCGAACGATTTTGAGCCATGTCATTCAAGGTCTCTAACCATCGATTATTATCATCTTGCGGACCCCAACCAGGTAGTCGACAATTACCAACATGGCTCAGTCCACTAGTCAATGACTTCATGGATTTCTGCCATGTTTTCGTTTGGCCGCCCCTAACTTTCTTCCAACCTATTCCTACACTACAAAACAAGGCTCGACGAGGCAGCCGGTGGTTGGGCATACGCAACACATGTCCCAACCACCTCAACTGGTGAAGTTTCAATACTTCATCGATTGATCTGCCATTCTTACCTAGCAACCGATTCCTAATAACAGCGTTGCTCACTCGGGTGTCCCACGATATACGAGCAATGCTTCGAAGACACCTCTGATCGAAAACCAGTAACCTACGAATATCATCTACTCCCATTGGCCATGCTTCACAGCCATAAAGTAAGACGGAGCGAACTACTGCACAGTACACTCGTCCTTTAGTCAGTAAACGGATATCTCGCCTACGCCATAAGTCACTCAGGTTGGCGAAAGCCAATCGAGCTTTCTGTATCCGAGCTGAGATTTCGTCAGTAGTAGTAGAGATAGTAGTCAAGATGATCGAATATACCATTCGAAATGTATACCCGAGGGAATCGATTAAGGAAAGGAAAAAATGGTCAGGAGGAATTCAGAAGATTAGGATTTGAGAGAACACAAAGAATGAATGTACCTGCGCCATTGCAAACCGTTTTTGAGCCATACCATTCAAGATCTTTAGCCATCGATTACTATCATCTCGCGGACCACAACCAAGTAGTAGACACTTACCAACATGACTCAATCCAGTTGTCTGTGACTTCATGTATTTGTGCCATGATTTGGTTTGACCGCCTCTAGCTTTCTTCCAATGTACTCCTACATCGCAAAACATAGCTGGGTGAGGCAGTCAGTGGTTGGGCATTCGTAACACCTGTCCCAACCACCTCAACTGATGAAGTTTCACTACTTACCTTGTAACCGGCTTCCCAACAATAGATACAATTCACTACGGTTATTCATTTGTCTTATTTCTTATTTAAAAAAAATTGTAGGCAAACGTATGCATAAAGGAAGAACTCGAAGATTTACTGCACCAGAAGAAATTGACCGTCAACTTGAAGTAAGTTATATGAAATTTCGGAGTGTTTGTCATTGAGCTTTGTAATTGAAATTTTTATGTTTGTTTAATAAATATATTTAACCGTAAATTTGGGTGATATTATGTCGTTTTAAAAACTGGCTCATAAATACAGTATATCACGAGAAACATTTACAATCGTTAAGTTATAAATCACAATATTGATTACATTTTTTGTTCTGTGTGATATCAGTTGCAACGTAGAACTTCATACGTATGTTCATAAGTCCAGGTTGCCGTACCATATTAGCACAGAGACGAAAATGTCAAATCAAATCCCATAGTGATAAAGATAGTAGAGGTATTAATGGTAGTGAAGAAGACTAGGGTTCGAAGATATTATTATTCAAGAAGTATAATTCAGTCAGATAAGGTTAGAAAGACAAAGATAGAGGTGCTGACGAATCTAGAAGATTAGGATTTGAGAGAGCTCAAAGAATGGATACACTTGCGCCATTGCAAACGATTTTGAGCCATGTCATTCAAGGTCTCTAACTATTGGTGACTATCATCTCGCGAATTCCCCAACCAGGTAGTCTACATCTACCAACATGTCTCAGTCCACTTGTCTGTCAGTGACTTCATGGATTTCTGCCATGTTTTGGTATGGCCTGTTCTGTGTGAACCAAATATACAACTGAAATAGAATACAAATATAATGTATCACGCTTGAGAAATGACTCCTCTCCCTCGAAATGCAAAATGTTGCTTCAGAATTTGCTTGTGTCGGCTCTTGATTTAGTTATAGAGATTGAAGTAGCTGAGGGTGTTACTTATCTTGAGAGTCTGAAATCTTGATTGTCTGGTGTTCGATGAAATCTTAGCGCAGCTGTTACGGGTACGGGTATGAGGGCGATTGCCACTTCCCGGCTGCCCACACCGTTGAAGGTTGTTTCTTGAGAGACCTGAAAAGGAAGATAGGTTAGCGTTGGTCTCGGAGACCTGGGAGCGTGACCACAGACTCCAAGGGACAGCTACTTGAGGCCAGTCACGCACGTCCTTTTTATGAAAGGATTTTTGAGTTAGGGTGATGTGTGACATTTTTAGGGTCGATCTTTTTTAACCCTTCCTTCCTTGTGAGAAGGCAGCATCGCTGGAGATTCTGATTGTCCGAGGGAAAAACCTCTGTACAGTCAGCATTACGACTTCGCCCTCAGACCTTGGGTAGCTGCTTTTAGTCTCATCGTTCTGCAATCGACCTGCCTGGCATGGAAGGACCTTCAGGAACATATGTTCCAGCCAGTATATCTCGGTTGGGTTATCACGATAGGCAAGCTCGACCACCACGTCAAGGTGGCAGCTGTGGTCGGGTCTTAGCGCAGCTACAAAAGGCTAGATTGTCATTTGCCAAATTGGGTCTCTTGTGGGATAGGAGAGATGTTTGTTTGTTAACGTAGAAACGAATTTGTTGCGCGACAGTTCGATCCATTGTACTTTACGAGTGTAAAATATGGCCATCGAGAATACGGGGGTATTCGTAGGTTACTAGTGTTCGGTCGTAAGTGTCTTCGTAGAATTACTCATGTATTTTGAAACCACCAGCTGAGCAGTACTAAGTTAAGAAATAAGATGGCCGATCAGTAGAGGAAGTAGTGAATCTTCGCCAGTCGAGATGGCTAGGACATGTATTACGAATGCCCAAACATCGAATACCTCGACGGGCAATGCTGTTTGGTGTAAGTGTAGACTGGAAGAAAGCTAGGAGCGACCAAACCAAAACATGACACCAATCTATGAAGTCATTGACAACTGGACTGTGCCATCTCAGTCGATGTATTCTACCAGGATAGAATTCGCCAAACAATCGTCACCGGTGGTTAGAAACTTTGAATGACATGGCTGAAAATCGTCTGAGTTCCTCATAACCTTTTGTCTTCTTTTTTTAATTTTATTGCACTGATTTATATTTTCTCAAATTTTATCTTCAATCCCCATTGTTTTCTGTTACCAATAATACTGTGAATACTTTTACTACTCTGAGATCTGGCTTGACAGTCTCATCTTTCTATGCTAATTGGGTCTAATAATCAGGAAATATTATATTCCGTATACAAACTATTAACACTTAGACATGTCCAATCCGTGCTCTAGTAGTAGTTCACTCCGTCCTACTTTATATGGCTGTGAAACATGGCCATTGAGAGTAGAAGATATTCGTAGGTTACTGGTCTTCGAAGCATTGCTAGAGTATCCTGGGACAACCGAGTGAGCAATGCTGTTATTAGGAAACGGGTGCTAAGTAAGGATAGCAGATCAATAGATGAAGTGGTGAAACTTCATCAGTTGAGGTGGTTGGGAAATGTGCTGCGTGTGTCTAACTACCGACTGCCTCGACGAGCTATATTTTGCAATTTAGGAATATTTTGGACGAAAGCTAGGGGCGGCCAGATCAAAACATGGCACAAATCCATGAAGTCACTGACAAGTGGACTGAGTCGTGTCGGTAGTTGTCGACTACTTGGTTGGGGTCCGCGAGATGATGATAATCGATGGTTAGAGACCGTGAATGACATGGCTCAGAATTGTTTGCAATGGCTCAGGTGCATTTATTCTTTGTGTTCTCTCAAATCCTAAACTTTTTAATTCTTCATCACTTTATCTTTATCCTTCCAAGTCTGTTTCACTAGATTCTACTTCTTGAATAATATCTTCTAATGCTGACTTCTCCGATTACTTCTAATACCTTTCGCTACCTCTACTACTATTGTATTTGAATTGTCAATTACATCTCTGTGCTGATGTGGTATGGCAACATGAACTGATGTACTTACGTACGTACGAAGCTCTACGTTGCATCTGACTGACTGACTAGTAGTCACGTATGAAGCAGTACTGAATTCAAGAAGAACTAAGTGTGCACAAACGAAAGAGTATTGTATTTCGAATTCGATTTATGTACAGAATACTGCTCAAAGTAATCTCTATTGCATATAACCATCAGATTAGTAAATGTCAAATTGAACTGATTTATGTACATACCAACCGAAATAGGTGGTTTTTTTCGGGAGACCTCTCCACAAGCACTTTGACCTAAACGTCTAATCCACAAGACAGTGAAGCCACGTAAAGAAATGCAGTCCCTTGGTAGCTGGTGAACAACAATAGGTTCGTACATAATTTTTTCCATCAGTTACAGTAAGCAATAGAACATAACAGTAAGTGTCTTTTCCTGGATCTATAGTAAAAAGCTATGATCAGTGGAGTTCAACCGTGCCTTAAGTGAGACAACAACACACTTATAGCAATACATGAACCTATTTGAATATCATGAATTGATTGGAATTAAAAATGTGAAATATGAAAATTTCAACTTAACAAGTTGAAGATTGAATGCCTAAGATGTGTTCCTTGGTGGGGTTGTAAGTAGAACTACGAAATCTATCATCCAGAAGATACAAGTATTTATTAACAGTTGTTTACGCAAAATACTTCGGATTTGTCGGCCAGACATTATCAGCAACAACCTACTGTGGGAGAGAACAAACCAGATTACAGTGGAGGAGGAAATCAAGAAGAATAGGTGGAAGTGGATAGGACACACATTGCGGAAAGCACCTAACTGCGTCACGAGACAAGCCCTCACATGGAACCCTCAAGGAAGGCCAAGGAACACATTAAGCCGAGAAATAGAGAAAGATATGAGAAAAATGAACGAAAACTGGAAAGTACTGGAAAGGGAAGCCCAAGACAAAGTAGGTTGGAAAATACTGGTCGGCGGCCTATGCTCCATTGGGGGTAACAGGCGTAAGTAAGTAAGTAAGTAAAGGGTTGTAAATACACACTACAGGAAGGTCTAACACTAAGTCAGCCAGCTACAATTTAGAACTTCGTACGTACGTACATCAGTTCAAGTTGCCGTACCACACTAGTTCAGAGAGATCGAATCGTCTATTCAAATCCCATAGTAGTAAAGGTTGCAGAATTATTAGCTTTTCTAGAGATGATCAGGGTTCAAAGGTATGATTCTGGGAGTATAATCCAGTGAGGTAAATTTAAAAAGACTAATAAAGACGGTCATGAGGAATTCAGAAGATTAGAATTTGAAGTGGTGTTACGCCTGCACGTAAACACGTCAACTTTTGATATACTTGAACTATTACGAGTTTACGTTAGCCGGAAAGCGAGAGCGAGGATCCGGCGACACGACATGCTACTCTAATCTGAGTGTCCCAACCCCCATATTGAGTGAAAATAAGAAGACAAGACTTGATATGAAGCAAAAACCGTATTCTACATGCATCCAGAAAGTACGAGGTCCGAGAATCAGGATCCCGGACTAGGGATCCGGATCCTGGTCCAGAATTAATAAGAAACAACATTGGAGCATGTGACATTGATATCTAGGACGACCATAAAATTAACCAATAGGATATGACCAATAATTCTCTTAAGATATTGGATGAATATCCTAACAAATTGTACAGAGAATAAATATGCATGCACCTGCGCCATTACAAACGATTTTGAGTCCGATATTAAAAATAAAACTGTGAAATTCTTCTTCCGTTGAACACTTCTTATCACATTGATTGATTGATATAAACTATTTGTAGTTATCTAAAGGAGAAGCTCAATCATCTTTACGTAAAACAATTCATGAGAAAAATATTGAAGAGACGACTGAAACTGAAACCGATGACGATGATGATGAGGAGGAGGAAGATGACGACGACGATGATGATGACAATTCAAATGAACGTCATAAAGGTGTTAGTCATTTAATTGAAGTTTGTAATCCGAATCATGTGAAATCTTCGAAAACTGTTATGTAAGTTGTCGAATGTTTTAATTCATTGATAGGGTAGTGTAGTAATGTAAATGTCGATTGATGCTGTTTGTTTTTACACATTTGAAATCATCAATCAATGATTGTTAGACCATCATTAGAAATCTGGAAGCACTAGACGGCCGTTTCGTCCTGGTGTATGGGACTCATCAGTAGTGCTCCTCTCAGGGTTCGAACCCGGGACCTGCGGTATTGTGCGCGAACACCTAATCATCGGACCACTGGGCCGGCATCCAACGGACGAAACGGCCGTCTAAACAGTGTTTCCAGGTTTCTAATGGTGCTCTGTCTAACAATGATTGATTGATGATTTTAAATGTGTTTTTAATAACACAAACCTCCAATACTCTGCCCCAAAATCTGTAATATATTGTGTTTAGTACAGGTAGATAACTAACTGTCAGTTGTAAAACACAAATAAACTTTGCATATATATAAATATATATATTACGCAACATTCATAGTCATTTTTGTTGGAATGACACTTACTCTGACCAACATTCTCCAATCAACTCTGTTCTGGCCCATAGCTATTCATTCTTCTTATGTCTGTTTCCGATTCTTAGTGTCTACCTGTTTGCTTTTGGCCTTGAATACTCCAAGTGAGGTCTTGCGTTGTAATGGAGTTGGGTGCTTCCATCAATGCATGTCCTATCCACTCCCAACGCTTCTTCCTAACTGTTTTGACGCTTGTATTGAAAATTCTGACTTTGGTGTTGGTTGACGGTTGTTTTGAATCTCAGATGTTGTTCAGTTATAGAAATTCTGACCTTGTTTTGCTTATTCATGTATTTACATTGGCATCAGATCCACCTTGATTATCAATGATGCTTCCCTTGTGTGTGAAGGTTTTCATATTTCTTCCACAGATTCTCCACCAAGTGTGATTTGGTTGGTGCATGTTGTGTTGTATCGGATAATCTTGCTTTTTCTCTTGTATATATTGAAATATACTGCAGCTACACTGGCCGTCTTGTGTGTGGAATAGAAGACCTTGATCATGTGTGAAGTTCAAATCGTCCAACTACATTGAAGCTGTCCACTGTTTTTTGTGCTTCCCCCGAGTTGCTGACGTCTATATTATAATCCAGTCAACAACCAGTGAACCACGACTCGTATAAAACTGACTTGCTGAAAACACGCTAACCGTTTAAATGCCCTGATACGGTCGAGAGTCAGGAGAATCCTCTCTCTTCCTCTAAATGCTCTCAGGCCATCAGCACTGATGAGACTTCCAAGATAAGTGGAGCGGTCAGCACGCTCAACAGCTTCACTCTCTATCAGCAGTTTGCTCTGTCCTACTATATGGTTACGAGACATGGCTGGTAAGAGTAGAAGACATTCTTAGGTTACTGGTTTTCAATTAAAGATGTCTTGTTAGCATTGCTCGTATATCCTGGAAGAATTGAGTAAGCAATGCTATAGTTAGGAATCGAGTACTAGGTAAGGATCGCAGATCAATAGATTAAGTAGTAAAACTTCATCAGTTGAGGTGATTAGGACATGTGTTGCGAATGTTCAGCCACCGGCTGCCTCGACGAGCTATGTTTTGTGGTGTAGTGTGGTGTGAGCTAGTTATAAGTAGTATATGGGGTGAGTGTCAACGTAATGTCTGGCAGCAGAAGAGAAGATGGGGGAAGATCAACAAGAAAGGAAGAGTTAGAAAACAATGGAATTTGTATGAAACGCATGAATAGTGACAATGGATTGATGATGTTTTGCAACAGGAACAGTCCAGTTCGATATGATGATGGACTGATATTTTGCAAATGAACGATTTACGATATGGTTTTCCCATTTTACTGAGTAACTCTGTTATTTTCGTTAAATACAATTCGGTTGCCCCACCTGTGTTCTCGTTCGCTACAGTAGGAGAGTAGGTTGGAAGAGAGCTATGGGCGCCCAAACCAAAACATGGAACAAATCCATGAAGTCACAGACAACTGGACTAGATTTCCACTACAAATGTCAGGACAGTTCTACTGTATGGAGTGGAAACTAGGAGAACTACCAAAGCCATCATCCAGAAGATACAAGTATTCGTGAATAGTTGTATAATCAAAATACTTCGGATTCGTTGGCCAAACACTATCAGCGACAACGTACTGTGGGAGAGAACAAACTAGATTCCAGTGGAGGAAGGAATCAGGAAGAATCGGTGGAAGTGGATAGGACACACATTGCGGAAAGCACCTAACTGCGTCACAAGACAAGCCTTCACTTGGAACCCTCAAGGTCAAAGGACAAGAGAAACACATTGCGCCGAGAAATAGAGAAAGATATGAGAAGAATGAACAAACATTGGACAGAACTGCAGAGGGAAGCCCAGGACAGAGTTGGTTTGAGAAAACTGGTGGGCGGCCAATGCTCCATTGGGGGTAACAGGCGAAAGTAAGTAAGTAAGTAAGTGAGTAACTTGTTTGCACACTAGCCATTAAATATAACCTTTCATTAATAATAATAATAACAATAGTAATGTGTATATTTTAGTCCTTCACGAAAAGAAATTGCTGCATCTGTAAAAGCTACCACGGATCCAATTAAACTATTGTCAGAAACTGAACTAGCCGCTAACATAGCACGTCTTCAATTAGTACGTAAAGAACGTGAATTAGCCGCTAAAAAACTTGAACAAGAAAAACAAGGTAAAAAATGATGTGATTTCTTATTTGTTTTCGTTTTTTTTCTGTTAACCTTTTTTTGTTACACCTGCACGTAAACACGTCAACTTTTGATATACTTCGAACTATTACGAATTTACTACCTTAGTCGGAAAACATGAGAGTAAGGATCGAGCATCCGGTGACACGACATGCTACTCAAATCCAATTATCCCAACCCCCATATTGAGTAAAAAATAGGAAGACTAGACTTGATATGAAGTAGAACCTGTATTCTACATGCATCCAGAAAGTATGAGGTTCGAATCCAGAAGAGAATCAGGATTCCGGATTAGGGATCCGGGACCGGGTTCTGGTCGTGGTCATAAAACGTTACACATTATGCGTATTTATACATTTTGGTCGAATAGGAAACAGTATCGAAGTCTGTGACATTGACAGTTATGACGACCAATAGGAAGCAACATTTGAAGTGACATGGATAGTCAGGACAACCAATAAGAAACAACATTGGAGTACATGACATTGATATCTAGGACGACCATAAATTTGACCAGTCCCATGACGTAGACATGTGACCTTGCGTTGCTTGCACTGTCGGGGCGGAGCAAGAGCGTACACGTTGAGACCCGAAAGATGGTGAACTATGCTTTCGAAGGTTGAAGCCAGAGGAAACTCTGGTGGAGGACCGTAGCGATTCTGACGTGCGAATCGATCGTATAACGTGAGTATAGAGGCGAAAGACTAATCGAACCATCTAGTAGCTGGTTCTCTCCGAAGTTTCCCTCAGGATGATAGCTGGCATTCTGAGAAATAAACAGTTTTATCCGATAAAGCGAATGATTAGAGGCATTGGGGATAAATCATCCTCAACCTATTCTCAAACTTTAAATGGGTGAGAAGCTTAACTCGCTTTGATTGGAGTTTTGCATTGAATGTGAGTGCCAAGTGGGCCATTTTTGGTAAAAAGAACTGACGCTGTGGGATGAACCAAACGTTCGGTTAAGGTGCCTAATGCGACACTCATGAGATACCAAAAAAGGTTTTGGTTGGTCTAGACAGCAGGACGGTGGCTATGGAAGTCGGAAGCCGCTAAGGAGTGTGTAACAACTCACCTGCCGAATCAACCAGCCCTGAAAATGGATGGCGCTCGAGCGTTGGACCTATACTGGACCGTTGCTGTTAGCTGGGCCTATGTTGTGTGAGGGCAAGCTGCACTTGGTCCAGGCATGGAGTTACGGCAACGAGTAGCACGGTCGCTGTGGCTAGTGGAAAGCCTCAGGCGTGAGCCTGAGTGGAGCAACCACAGGTAGCAGATCTTGGTGGTAGTAGCAAATATTCAAGTGAGAACCTTGAAGGCCGAGGTGGAGAAGGGTTTCATGGGAACAGTAGTTTTCCATGGGTCAGGCGTACCTAAGTGATCCGGTAAATCGGAACAGAGACGGGGTGCCTGACATTGTCCGTTCGCGGACTTTGTCCAGTATTCTGCAAAGTACTGTTGCACTGCAGCCCCCTGTAGCGAAAGGGAAGATACAATTCAATAAGTATAATCCAGTGAAAAAAGACATGTGTCATGAGAAAATCAAAAGATCAGATTAAGAATGGATATACCTTTAGCCATTGCAAACGATTTTATGCCATGTCATTTCAAGTCTCTAATCATCGATTACTATCATTTCGCGGACTCTAACCAAGGTAGTCTACACTTGTTAACAACACAACTCAATCCGATTGTCATTGACTTCATAAATTAGTGTCACGTTTTGTTTTAACCGCTGCTAGCTTTCTACCAGCGCTAATCTCCCACATCAGACAACATATGTGTAAGCAATGCTATAGTTAGGAAACGGGTACTAGGTGTAGGGTTGAAAGATGAAGTAGTGAATCTCCATCCGTTGAGGTGGTTGGGACATGTGTTACGAATGCCGAACCACCGACTGCCTCGACGAGCGATGTTTTGTAGTGTAGGAATAGGTTGGAAGAAAGTTAGGGGCAGCCAAACCAAACCACATCACAAATCCATGAAGTCACTAACAAGTAGACTGAGTCATGTTGGTGAGTGTAGACTATACCTGGTTGGGTTCCGTGAGACGAAAGTCACCGATGGTTATTGACCTTGAATGACATGGCTCAAAATTGTTTGCAATGGCGCAAGTGCATCCATTCTTTGTGTTCTCTCAAATTCTAACCTTCTGCATTCCTCATAATCTCTACCTTTCTCCTTCTAACTTTATCTCACTAAATTATACCCTAATCTTCTCCATTACTGTTAATACTTCTACTATCGCTATCACTCTTGGATTTGAACTGACACCGACCATCTCTATGCTAATGTGGTATGGCAACCCGAATTGATATACGTGCGTAGGAAGTTCTACATCGTAACTAACTGACAGACTGACTGATATTTTAAACGTCATATTGTTTTGATTCTATTAATTTCACTCTTTCTTTTTCACCGACATCACCGTCATCATCATCATGTAGCTCGTGAAGCTCAACGTGCAGCGTGCGCTGCTGCTACAGCTAAACGTACATCACACAGTAAACCACAACAAAAGGCAGCTGGCGGTGGCGGTCGTAATGTTAAACAGCAACCACAACAACAACATGCGAACAGTAATAAACATCATCAACACAACAGTAATACAAAGACATCATCGGTTGATGATGATGATAACTAATCCGTTGATCTGGTGGTGGTGTCCTATGCACAACTCCAATGCTTATCTCATATTACGCACACTCACACACTCACACACACCTACACGCAGACACACACACACGCATACACACTTATTAGTACAACAATATATATACCTAATTCAAACTTGTCACATATTATATATAACTCGTATTGTTTTGATAAGAAAAACTGTTTTTTTGTAAGAAACAAGAACTCAAGGTATTCAAGAACACTTTTTTTCGTTTGACTGTTTGGTTATTCCTTTGGTCTTGTAGTTTGTATGTTTTTCTATTCTTGTTCAATACCTACCATCCAACTACAATTTCGAATGTGTGTGTGTGTATGTGCTTCTTTTGAAAAAAATACCTATCTGATCATAACAAACAATTCAATTGTCAATGGGATGGTCTGTCTATCTATCTATTCATCTGTTTGTGTATTGGCTCTTTGTCTCTCTTATGCTGCTTTGCTATAACATTTTTAGAAAAAAAAATTTTGAATAAAGAGAGAGAGAGAGAAAGGAATAGCGCCCCGCGCGAGCGCTCGCGCACCCACACACACACATTGATATGATACAGTTTTGTTATTATTACTATTATTATTATTAAACTATTTTGAAAATTTTTTTAATATAAAGAAACCTTTAAAGCAATATAATTGTATATGATGTAATCGTATTATAGTAAAGAATTTCAAAAGTTTCAGTGTTAGCTGTGTGTGTGTGGTTGGAATATGTATTATGTATGATATGTGTATGACACACAGTTGACGTAAATACGCTATGCTGACTGAGAGAAGATTTACTTACTTACGCCTGTTACCCCTGATGGAGCGTAGGCCGGCGAACAGTTTTCTTCAACCAACTCTGTCCTGGGCTTCCCTCTCCAGTTCTGTCCAATGTTTGTTCATTCCTCGCATATCTTTCTCTATTTCTCGGCGTAATGTGTTCATTGGCCTTCCTCTTTTTCTTTTGCCTTGAGGGTTCTGTGTGAGGGCTTGTCTTGTGACGCAATGTGTGTCCTATCCACTTCCACCGCTTCTTCCTGATTTCCTCCTCCACTGGAATCTGGTTTGTTCTCTCCCACAGTAAGTTGTTGCTGATCGTGTCTGGCTAACGAATCCGAAGTATTTTTGGCATAGACAACTGTTAATAAACACTTGTATCTTCTGGATGATGGGTTTGGTAGTTCTCCAATTTTCCGCTCCATACAGTAGAACTGTCCTGACATTTGTATTGATGATCCTGATTTCGATGTTTGTTTGGAGTTCCAGATATTTTTCTATTGTAAAAATGCAGCCGTAGCTTTGCCGATCCGCGCCCTCACATCTGCATCGGTTTCACGGTGATTGTCGATGATGCTGATCGGATATGTAAAGGTAGTAACATCCTCCAAGGCATCTAATTCAAGAGTGATTTGGTTGGCGCATGTTGTGTTGCATCGGAAAATTTTGCTTTTTCCTTGATGTATGTTGAGACCTACTTCTTCTGATCCTGATGCTACACTGGTCGTCTCCTAGCAGCAGTAGGTCTCAACATACATAATAAGAGAATGCGAAAATTGTTGTTGCACGGTTGTACAAGATGATTGATTACAATTTAGATTGAATGGGTGACCAAGTATTTTTACTTTAAATCTATGATCCAATTGAGACTCCAATAAATTGAAGGGTTGATTGATAACACAGCATTAGGATTTGATAAGTAGAGAATTCGATTCGATAAATCTAGAAATTTGAAAGCGCGGTGCATTTCCGTATGCAATCAATATTAGAATAGATGTGTAGTGAACTACTTTTGTGCAGAGAATGCGATTGGTATAATGGAAACATTTATTATTATAATCAATTGTACCGGTGATTGTTTTACTGAACCCTTTTGTTTATCTGTAACATTTTCCTGTTCCTTGTGACATTGAACTCGGTCATGTACGGCTCGATGGTTCTCGTCTGTAAACTTTGTCACGATCTCAGTATCTCATCAATCAGTCATTGTTAGACCACCATTAGAAACCTGGAAGCACTGGACGGCCGTTTCGTCCTGGTATGGGACTCATCAGCAGTGCGCATCCATGACTCCTTCACCTCGCAGGATTCCAACCCGGGATGCCGGCCCAGTGGTCCGATGGTTAGGCGTTCGCGCACAATACCGAAGGTCCCGGGTTCGAATACTGCCAGGAGCAGGAGTCGTGGATGCGCAGTGCTGATGAGTCCCATACCAGGACGAAACGGCTTTCCAGTGCTTCCAGGTTTATAATGGTGGTCTAACAATGATTGATTGATGATTTCAAATGTGTAAAAACACAAAACCTCCAAAACTCTGCCCGAAAATATTACCTTACCTCCAATCACAACTGCCCTTCCGATATTTCACATACACAAAGGGACTGAACTTAGTACTTGGCTTTAAATCGTTCGATGTTGTGATGTTAGTCGATCTCGACTTGACACACTACAGATGCTTGGCCAGCCATATGTTTGTGTCGAGATTTTCCAGAAATCATTGTGAAGCAGTATAAAATTGTTATGTGATCAATAATATTAATTGACATATAGTTTCGTAGACATTTGAGATTAGAATTCTGGCATATCATGTGATGAGGGTTTGTTACGCTTGCAAAATCTCTCTCTTTATGACCTGTGACCTTAAATTTTTTCACATTCGTGATTACTGAATGAACCAAACAGTTCTAGTGTAGTGAAGGAGAACACAGGTGAGGGCAACCGAATTGTATTTAACGAAAATTACAGAGTTACTCAGTAAAATAGGAAAACCGTATCGTAAATTGTTAATTTGCAAATCTTCAATCCATCATCAATCCATTGTCTGACATTTCACTTTTCATGCATTTCATACAAATTCCATTGTTGTCCCACTCTTCCTTTCTTGATCTTCCCCCATCTTCTGCTGCCAGACATTACGTTTACACTCACGTCATATACTACTTGTAAGTAGCGCGCACCACACTAGTAGCTAGTTGGAAGCCTTGGAGTTTTGATTTGAGCGAAAACATTTCATTGAGCCTTTATGATTTAAAACACTATTAATTTGATTTGAATGAGAAATTCTTATGGAATCAGATGACGTAAAATTAATAGAACAAGGTATTTAACTAGAATTCGAACATTTATTCAACTTTGTGTCATTTTTAAGATTAATAAGTCGACGACATGACAAACCCTTACACGGAACCCTCAAGGTCAAAGGAAAAGAGGAAGGCCAAGGGACACATTACGCCGAGAATTGGAGACAGACATGAGAAGAATGTACGAAAACTAGAAAGGGAAGCCCAGGACAGAGTTGGTTGGAGGAAACTGTTCGGCGGCCTATGCTCCATTGGGGGTAACAGGCGTAAGTAAATAAGTCGACGACATTGATCAATAATAGTACCTGCCAATCTAAGATTAGGGTCGGATTTTATTCAGCCTAAAAGTCAAGTTTGAAAATTTAAATCTGATAGTGATAGCAACATTCTCTCACAAAAATAAGACATTTCAGTTGTTTGTCTGACAGTGAATGTAACCTGAAATTCCCGCCACATATAAGAAGAAATCAACTTCAGCGCTATTAACATTCTCTTAATGCAACTTTATATCACAAGCTGAATGAAATAGACTAGTCAGTAAAACTTTGTTAATGATTTAGCAACTGAGTCCCCTTAATTCGAACATTTAGGATGAATTTTCGTGCTTACTTAGGATGCATAGAATTCTTTATGTTGTTACAGAGTTGATTTAAGCTGATCGGCTGAGATTGACAGTTTGCAATCTTATTTACTTTGTCATGAGGTTGACAACTTTCTACCAGAATGTCATATGATATACTAAACCCTACCCTCCCGAAAAACTGCCTACTTAGGCCAGAAGGCAAGGGTATAAGAAAAAGTCTATTTGGCTGCCGTAGTATACGTAGGATTATAATTGAGCATCCGACAAAAGTACTTATAGTCACTGTTGACTAGCAGTAACAGACATGTACTACGTAACTGTGATATTATTTCGTCTGTAAAAGATTCTGTTACCTGATTATAAAAATAATTTCGTTGCAATTCACTTTATCAACATAATTAGATCCTATTAGGTAAGGATGACAAGTTAATTGATGAGAGCAGTGAATCTTCATCAGTTCAGATGTTTGGGACATGTGTGGCGTATGCCGAACCACCGAATGCTTAGACAAGTGATGTTTTGTGGTGTAGGTTGGATGAAAGCTATGCAAGCCAAACCAAAACATAGCACAAATCCATGAAGTCACTGACGACTGGATTGAGTCATATTGATAGATGTAGACTACCTGGTTAGGGCCTACAAGATGATCGTACCTGTTAGTTAGGGACCTTGAATGACATGGCTCAAAAACGTTTACAAAAGCACCACTGGTGTATTCGTTCTTTGTGTTCTCTCAAATTCTAATCTGAAATCCTCATGACCTTCATTTTTCGGTTCTCACAATTATTTCACTGGGTTATACTCCTTAAACAATATCTTCGAACCATAAGTCAGTCAGTCAGATGCAACGTAAAACTTCGTACGTAAGTACGAAGTTCATGTTGACATACCACATCAGCATAGAGATATAATTGTCAATTCAAATCCAATAGTAGAAGAGGTAGTAAATGTATTAGTAGTAATCAAAGAGGTTAGTATGATTCAGTGAGAAAGGTTTAGAAAGTCAAAACTAGATGGGTTGAAGAATCCAGAAGATTAGTAGGATTTGAGAGAACACAAAGAATAAATGCACCTGCGCCATTACGAACGATTTTGAGCCATGTTATTCAAGGTCTCTAACCATCGAATACTAACATCTCGCGGACCCCAACCAGGTATTCGACAATTACCGACATGGCTAAGTTCACTCGTCAATGACTTCATGGATTTGTGCCATGTTTTGGTTTGGCCGCGCCTAGCTTTCTTCCAACCTATTCCTACACTACAAAACAACGCTCGTCGAGGCAGTCGGTGGTTAGCCTTACGTAATACATGTCCCAACCACCTCAACTGATGAAGTGTCACTACTGCGTCTATTGATCTGCCATTCTTACCTAGCACCCGATTCCTAATAACAGCGTTGCTCACTCGGGTGTCCCACGATATACGAGCAATGCTTCGAAGACATCTATGATCGAAAACCAATAACCTACGAATATCTTCTACTCTCACTGGCCATGTTTCACAGCCATAAAGACGTAGCGAACTACTGAGCAGTACACTCGACCTTTAGTCAGCAAACGGATATCTCGCCTACGCCGTAAGTGACGCAAGTTGGCAAAAGCCAATCGAGCCTTCTGTATCCATGCTGAGATTTCGTCATTCAGCAGGCCATCGGCACTGATGAGACTCCCCAGATAAGTGAAGCGGTCTACAATTCGTAAATCAATCATGAATCTATCATTTAGTGGATAAAATTTGTAGTTCAGGTAGATGATTATGTTAGAGTATTATTCTCTAAGCTGGATAATTTGATCACATATCTCCATACATGACTCATGACTTATCCTGTCAACCTCGATTAGCTGTTACTACTGACCTATAACCTGACAATATTTTGATTCTGTCAAACTTTGACTTGTTTCATGATCCTACTATTATTGTGCATGACTTTTCCGATTGGTCAATTAATTCAAGCTAGTGAGAATGCACTGCGGCGCAGAAGAATGAAGAAGAATTATCGAATAACTATTCTTCAAAGCAACAACTATCAAAAAATATCAATGTAACCAACGGACGGATCATCCTACCACATATCGGAAATTGCACCGAGATTACTGAAGCCAGTTGAAATCAACAGAATCATTTCAATCAATCCTAATGTAAACCAAAGGACAAAATGACAAAAGAACAGAAACCGAATATCATCTACAAAATAAACAACTGCTCAAACTGTGAGAAGAAACACTACATAGGACAAAGTGGACGTCCTCTCCATCTTCGTTTACGTGAACTGCTAATGGAGCATTTATTATTATTATTATTATTATATAAATTTACCCTGTATATTGTCAAGGGCAATTTTACATTGGTTTTGCAGGATAACCAAAGAGACTGAACACGTTTTACCGTTACTACATGAACAGTTCGACTCAATCGTGTGGTGCAACCACACAGGTACCTGATACCCTGGTGGACCATTCACACCGTTTCATATACACACAATGGTATATATATTTCCGATCAATGATCGCGTCAATCAACATGCACCGCATGAACAGGCCATTTCGACCCATCCCGCTTACATCAGTGTCAAACTCATTATTATTAGCAATGGTGATATGTAATACAGCACCCCGATGACAACGGCCCTCGGAAATGTGGCAAAACAACCACCTATATCAATGAAATCGGTCACCCTGCTAACCAATTTTGTATATGGACTGTTAACAATGCTTACCAAAGCAAAGCCAAGCCATCCACAATATACACTGCGAACCTCTAGTTTCATATGGGAAACCTTCAGCTCTATATAGCAGTATAGCATATGAAAGTAGATAGGATAAATATTGCACAAACCTCCCAGCTGCATCACGAAGCAACCCCTAACTTGGAACCCTCAAGGAAAAGCGGTAGACCAATGAACACACTGTGCAAAAAATTGGAGCCAGACATCAAAAGAATGAACAGTAATTGGATAGAACTGGTGTAGGTTAAAGAACGCTGGTTGACGATCTATGCTGCATCACGGTTAACAAGTTTATTTAACTAATGTGAATGTTTGGTTTAATTTTGTAAGCATTCTGACTGTTTGTTCAAGCATAAGATTGCAATATTGTATAAAAGATCGAATCGTTTTAAAATGTACGTTAGTGAACTTATTAGTTCACTGGAATACAATACAGGGAACCACCCCAACTGTCCCAACTATCAGCTGAGATGGTTGGTACATAGGTTATGTATGCCCAACCACCGAAAGCCTAACGACCGATGTTTTTTTGGTGTAGGAGTAGGTTGGAAGAAAGCTAGGGGGTGGCCAAACCAAAACATGGCACAAATTCATGAAGTCACTGACAAGTAGACGGAGCCGTGTTGGTAGCTGTAGACTACCTGGTTTGGGGTCCACGAGATCATAGTAAACAATTGTTAGAGACTTTGAATGACACGGTTCAAAAACGTTTGCAATGGAGCCGGTGCATTCATTCTTTGTGTTCTCTCAAATCCTAACCTTCTGCATTCTTATTCACCTTTATCTTTTTCTTTTAAAGTTTATTTCACAACATTCTACTTCTTGTATAATATTGTCGAACCCTAATCTCTCCGATTACTGCTAATACTTTCACTAGCTCTACTACTATGTGATTTGAATTGACAATTACATCTCTGTGCTAATGTGGTAATGGCAACTTGAACACTGATGTACGTACCTACGTACGAAGTTCTATGTTCTTGTTGACTGACTAAGGCTCGTTGATGGTGTTCACACTGGCACTTGAAACTAATGGTATTTTTCATCAGTGAAAACATGGTAACAACATGTGTCATCTGTCAAAAATGTTTAGTCCGCCAAATCATAAACATGAAAAATAACAAATTACAGAAAAGTATAATTTTTGACAATTAACCAAAAAAAAAAGATGAAATTTATTTTATAAAATGTACAGTTCTTTTTTTCTGATGATAACAGTTTTCTTATTTTTAAAAAATACAATTCCTACTTGATGATTGAAGTGAATCATTCTGTTTGAAAAGGTATGACTATTTGATGAAGTAGCAAGTCATGTTCTCAGTAGTACGATCGAGATGGCTTTTTATTATTTCGTGGAATAGACAGGGTTGAGATACGTAAACGGCAGAATGATGAACTATAAGCACACACGCGAAAAAAACAAACACAGAGGAAACATTCAATTAGATTATTTTTGTACGGAGTAGGGAAAATAACGATGCATCTTATTCGAACGTAAAACTCCGTCTGGAGCCTTTCTAGGGTTACTGTCGATCGGAAGCCCGGATAAAAAGAGGATGAGTGAGCATGGAGGTTAGCGACCTCATCCTGTAGAGAACTAACTCATTAAAACCAAATGCTAACCAGAAAAATTGGCAACGTTTTATGTTCCAGTTGAGGGTAACAGGTGTAAAAAGTAAGGTAAGTTATATTGAGTGTGAACAGGTTTATTTTTTGTGTACGATTTGTAACTTCTGATCAATTAAAATTCCAACTTTTTTGCACCTGCATATCATTTAATTATCTACTCTTTCTACTTTCTTTTTGACATTGGTAACCTGGAAGCACTGGACGGTCATTTTTTTCTTAATATGGGACTTATTAGTAGTGTGTATCTATGACACCGCAAGCAGAAATCGAATATGATTAGCTTGGTGACGGAATTTTCGGAGCTGTAGAGAGAAGCCGTAACCAATAGAGTTCAACTCTGTTAGATGAGACAGGTAACTACCAAAGACAACGGATAAAGTCGCGCATAGTAGTAAGTTGACTGATAAGGTTTGATTTCCGGCTTACGAAGTCATGGATGTATATAGCTGATGAGTTTCATACTAGAACGAAACGGTCATCCATTGCTTCGAGATTTCCAGCTAGGAGGAGTGGTTGGAATGTATCGTTAACTCATTTTCCAAGCACAAATAGTTCATGTTATTCAGTTTAAAAGTTACAGTGATAATTTCTGCTTGTGCAAACTTAAACAACGGCGCTGAGGAGAGATCAAACTGATGATTTAGCAGCGAAATATCGAACAAATGTTATCATCAAAGCATCACATTCTCGCTTAGTCCGACGAGTAACGGTGATCAGATTATAAATTAGAACGACTTGAGACGTGGTACAAAGGTTAATGTAAACCTATTCGATCTTGCCAGTCTCGTATGCTTTAACGTTTATGAGGGCGGATGTGACTTTCCAGCTACCCACACTGTGGAGGGGCTCTTGGTTGTCAGAAAAGGCATCGGCCTCGTGACTTCCATCATCACGAGACGTCATAACTCTTCTAAATGAAGACCTTCTAACTCCCAGAGCAGAGTTTATACGGTTCGAATTATTTTTTTTAGCGTTTTTTAGCGAGTTAGTTTTCTACGGCACGGGGCCGCCTACCCCACGCCCAATACTCCTACTTTACTCGAGCTTAGGACCGGCGATAGCCCCGAAGGGGCTCCAGGCGGCGTTATTAGATCTTGACTCAGCAATCTAAGAGTAAAGCAACTTTCATAAAAAAACCCCTGGAGGTTTTGGATTCAACCCTAAAGGTTTGCCATGGATACCCACCACCGAATTCTTATACTTGAACGAAAGAGTTCCTTACTGTCTCGTAGTTTTTAATATGCTGTGAGGTTCGATTTAGAAGCTACTTTTCTGAGATCTTATTTATTAAGTAACTTGACTAATAGATACATAAATATTCTTTTTATCATAAACTTTCCATGAACGCATAAATTTTTATCATACGATTTATTGATCCTATTTTAAAATATTAAACATTCCCATTATGAAAATTAGAACAACACAATATATAAGCGAACAATATTGTTTCCAGTCAGATCATCATAAGGCTTTACTCTCTAATATACTTGAATATTGATATGAAAATGTTAACCCGCGTAAGGTACGAAGGTTAGGCGTTTGCACGCAAAACCGAAGACCTTGGATAGTCGTGGATGCGTACTGCCACTGATGCATCCTATACCAGGGTGAAACGACCGTCTTTTAACGTCTCCAGATTTCTAATGGTGGTCTAACAATGATTGATTGATGATTTCAAAATGTGTAACTTAGCAATCTTCATAACCCCGTAATGCAAATCACCTGTGACTAGCCCCGTGAGGAATCTTCTCCGAGTTCTAGTGGGAAGTCGTGACCAGTGAAGTTCAACCTATTCAGATGTAGGCAGTAACTACCGAAGACTGGGTATGAGGTTGCGCAACTCCATGAATTGATCAAGTTAGACATCAACACCTCTAGATACCGGCTCAGTGGCTCGTCCTGGTCCCATACCAGGACGAAACGACCGTCCAGTGCTTCCAGGTTTCTAATGGCGGTTTACCGTTGATCGATTCATGGTTTCAAAAAATGTGTAACTTAACAATGTTCACAACCCCGTAATGCAAAAACGTTTATGTTATCATTCGCATTATTGGGTGGCCTTTCGAGCATCGGAGTAGTTAGTAGTCAAATCTTTCATCCTTGTTGTATATTAATGTAGTGCGTGTACGTTTATGTCAAGCGAACACAGGGCTTGTCCCAAGCCTTTGTGCAAATCAACTAATCCATTCTTCCGACCGTAGCTGCTACCTCGACGTGGTTGGTGGTCGGGCTTGCCTATCGTCATGACCCAACCGAGCTATGCTGGTTGGAACATATGTTCCTGAAGGTGTTACCGTGCCAGGTAGGTCGATTGGAGAACGATGAGACTAAAAGCAGCTACCCAAGATGTGAGGGCGAAGTCGTACTGCTGACTGCAGAGGGGTGTGACAGCAGTAAGGTGTTTACCTCGGACAACCAGCATCTGCAGCGATGCTGCCTTCTCACAAGGAAGGAAGGGTTAGAAAAGGTCGACCCTAAAAATGTCACACCTCACCCTACCTCACGGATCTCCGTCTCCGGCGGTAAGGGTGCCCACTAAGGGCTTTCAAGAGCGGAGCTAATACTAAAAAAACTTTCATAAAAAGGACGTGAGTGACCGGCCTCAAGCAGTTGTCCGTTGGGCTCTGGGGTCACGCTCCCAGGTCTCTAAGACCAACACTAATCTATCTTCCTTTTCAGGTTTCTTCGGGAACAACCTTACATGGTTTGGGCAGCCGGGAAGCGATATCCGCCCTCATACCCGTAACAGCACAGTTACTGCCTACACCCAACAGGGTGTACCATTGGCTTTTATTATTGTGTGGTTTGTATGAGCTGATATGACTGAGCATAGCTTAACACGCCTATTCGTTTTGATATTGATCTCTTAAAGATCACGATGACTCAGACATTTTCCTATGTATATATAAGAACATCTTCATCTTATTAATAAATTCGCCCATTCGCTCGTTAGTGTGCCTGCCCGGTCTGCTTGTGGTCTGCTATCCCTATTTGTGGTGTGTCCCGAATAAACGTATTCAACGCTTCGAGTTTACCTTCTAATTTATAAACCGTCAGACGCTATTTAGTAACGATTATTGTCTGAACGAGGCTAATTACGAAAATTAAGAACACGTCAACATTGGCCACTACAATATCTATCATACACTTATTAAAAAAAACTAAACCGATTTTAAAGTTGGCTTATAACGATCATATATAAAAACGAAAAAGAAATATTCATACTGATTACCAAAACATTTTCAAAAACTTACCTTAATCTCATAAATATAACAGTATAATAAGTTAATAAGCCAGATGTTAAAATGAATGCTGTAAGCAATTTTTCCCATACAGACGTGTTAACCTTTGAAAGAAATGTTGACAGTAAAAAAAAAAACAGCATTGAACACAGAACATGTACAAGAATAAACAGTGAGTGGAAAAATTCTAATTGATAAGTTTACCAAATGAATGTTTGATTTGATTTGACTGACTGACTTACTTCTTACATGTCGGTTAGCCATAGACCGCCGACCAGCATTGTTTAACCTAATCTCTCTCTCTTTCTCCTGGGCATCTCTATTCTAAATAACCTTAAAATAAACTCACAAAGCAATTAAAACAAACGAGAAAGGGTGCAAAGTGAGGAAAAGGAATGCTAAGGTTGGTTCATGTAATATTTATGGAGGTACACATGACCTTGGACATATGGATGTTTTCAGAACCCCATGCTAGCCACGCTCACAGACTCATTCCAAGTGAAGACCGACGTGTTAGACAAGACGGCTTACTCTCAGCCTCTCTCTTTCTCTGCCGGTGGTTGACTGGATCATATAAAAAAAACCTCAACATCTTAGGTGGTTGTTTTGTAGTGTAGGAATAGGTTGGAAGAAAGTTAGGGGCGGCCAAACCAAAACATGGCACAAATCCATGAAGTCATTGACAAGTGGACTGAGTCATGTCGGTAGTTGTCGACTACCTGGTTGGGGTCCGCGAGATGATAATAATCGATGGTTAGAGACCCTGAATGACATGGCTCAAAACCGTTTGCGATGGCGCCGGTGCATTTATTCTTTGCGTTCTCTCAAATCCTAATCTTCTGGATTCTTCAACACCTCTAGTTTTGACTTTCTAAACTTTTCTCACTGAATCATACTTCTTGAATAGTATCTTCTAACCCTAACCTTTCCGATTACTTCTAATACCTTTACTACCTCTTCTACTATTGGATTTGAATTGACAATTCGATATCTCTGTCCTGATGTGGTATGGCGACATACGTACATATGTACAAAGTTCTACGTTGCATCTGACTGACTGACTCTTAGGTGGTGCATAGAATATACAATAGACAGCTTGGATGTAGCCAGACGATTAGGATATAGCAGATGATTTACCTTTTGTATTCCACACAGACGGCTACTGTAGCAACCGCCTTTGCCACAGTAGGTCTCAACATACACAAGTAGAAAAAGTAAGATTCACCGATAAAACCTAACATGCACCAATCAAGTCACACTTGGAAGATGTGCGCAGCATCATTGATAAACAAGGTGAATCTGATACAGAATATAAAGGGAAGTATTCCTATAGTTGAAGAACATTTGGAACTAAAAACAGCTGCCAACTAATACCGAAATTAGAATTTTCAATACAAATGTCAAGACAGATAAATTATATGGAGGGAAAAGTTCGAGAACTATAAAAGCCATCATTTACAAGATACAAATGTTTATTGATAACTGTCTATGTAAGATACTACGGATTGGGAAAATAATGGGGACGTTAAATTTTATTCATGGGCTGATCAGTTGACCTTGAGATCACATTTCCCAGCAGGAGAATCCTTGGCTGTGATTGGTTGCTATGTTGTTTTAGTGTGCTATTTTGTGACTCTCCCCCAAGGACATTTCTATAATGAATAAATAAACTCGATTTGTGTGCTTGAATTCATTGTATTTGCTGGGTTGTTTGTAGAATACACTTTCTAAACTATATCACGACTTTTCGTCAGTTCCTTTGGGGAAATGGATAGGAGTAGCCTACCGTGTCACTGGTTCATTGTCTCGTTCTCGTTTATCGACTAAGATGAACCCGTAATAGTTTCAAGCATAACAGAAACAACCTACTGTGACAGAGAACAAACTAGCTGAGGAACAAGTCAGGAAAAAACGCTGGATAGACAGATATGACACACATTATGGTAATCACGCAACTGTGTCTCAAGGTAAGTCCTAAACTTGTAATCTTCAATGCCGAAAGAAATAGGCGCAGACCAAAGAATACATTGTACTAGGAATTAGAGACAAACAAGGAAAGAATGGTGTTAGTGGGACGTCGATGGAATTAAAGCATGACTACGTTGCTACGCGCTGATTGGCTAATTTCCTATCCAATCAGCGCCTGATCGATTTTTGGAGAACTGGATAGAAAATTCTCGTATTGTTAGCTGCATGTTGGTTGGCTAAATCTAATCCAGTCGATCACGTGAATTTCTATCCAGAAGCTTCTCATGTAAATACTAAAAATAGACTAACGTTGTATCTATTTTTGCCTTCTTTGCCTTCGCCATCACCTTTGGCTTCTTATTTCCATTTAACCTTTGTTATTTGGAATATAATCTTTTCCTGTTCAATCGTGTTTTTTTATTCTTTGGAACTTGTCCAGTGTATTGTGTGGTCAGAGAATAAATACTAAGCAATAGGAATTAGCTGGGAATTATTTCAAGTTAGCGTTACAATAAATGGATACCACTTGGAAACAACTAGAAAGAAGAAGCCAAAGACAGAGCGAGTTGCAGAACCCTAGTCAGCGGTCTATGCTCCACGAGGGGGTAACAGGCCTAAGTAAGTAAGTAAGTAAGTAAGTAGAAAACCAGTAACAACAATTAACATCTATCATAATATGAACTTACATAGGAATCAGGTAAAATCCAATAACGATCACAAGTTAAATGATCACATAATGTTGTTTGAAGTAATTCTGACAATTGGTTATCAATGATTGCCATGATAAAAATTCGATATTCAATAATCAGTTGACATGAATGTGTAGAGCATAAGATGAAAAGGAAAAATGGAAAAAAAAATATTAAGAGAGAAAAACATTCATCAAATCAAATAAAACAAATAGTTTCAGCAGTTAGACAGTTAGTTACAATGTAGAACTTAGTATGACCTACACATCAGTTGCATCTCTGTGCTAATGTGTGTGGTATGATAACTTGAACTGATGTATGGACGTATGAAGTTCTAAGTTGTTCGCTGACTGATTGACTGACATCCATTGAAGTTGCCATACCACATTAGCACAGAGATACAACGGTCAGTTCATATCCAATAGTGGTAGAGATTGTAGAAATATTAGCAGTAATGGAGAAGATTAGGGTATAATTCAGTGAGATAAAGTTAGAAAGAGAAAGATAGAGATGATGAGGAATTCTGAAGGTTAGAATTTTTAGAGAACAAAAAGAGTGGATGCACCTGCGCCACTGAAAACGATTCTGAGCCATGTTGTTGTTAGGATATTCATCCAATATCCTAAGAGAATTATCGTTCAATTCCTATTGGTTAATTCCTACTGGTCAATTTTATGGTCGTCCTAGATATTAATGTCACATACTCCAATGTTGTTTCTTATTGGTTGTCCTGACTGTCAATGTCACTCCAAACGTGCAGGCGTAACAGTTGTTCAAGGTCTCTAACCATTGGTGACTTTCGTCTCGCGGACCCCAACCAGGTAACCTACATCTACCAACATGATTCAGTCCACTTGTCAGTGACTTCATGGATTTGTGTCATGTTTCCGTTTGGCCGTCTCTAGCTTTCTTCCAACATACTCCTACACTACAAAACAAAGCTCGTCGAGGCAGTCGATGGTTAGCCATACGGAACACATGTCTCAACCACCTCAACTGATGAAGTTTCACTTCTTCATCTATTGATTTGACATCCTTACCTAGAACTCGTTTCGTAACGACAGCATTGCTTACTCGGTTGTCTCAGGATATACAACCAACGCTTCGGAGACACTTATGATCGAAGACAAGCAATCTACGAATGTCCTCTACTCTCACCGAACATGTTTTGCATCCCGTATAGTAGGACGGAGAAAACTGCTGCGTAGTATACTCAACCTCTGATTAGTAAACGGATATCTCGCCTGCGCCATAGGTGACGCAACTTGGCAAAAGCCAATCGAGCTTTCTATATCCGTGCTGAGTTTTCGGCAGTCACCAAACCATGGCAATGGAGAAGATTAAGAACCGAAGATAAGACGAGACGAAATATGTATCAGAGAAAATAAACGTCACTGAGGTTAGAATTTGAGAGGAGGCAAAGAATGGATGCACCTGCATTATTGCAAACGATTTTAAGCCACATCATTCAAAGTTTCTAGTTACTAGTGAGTGTTTTCGTGAGGACTCCAATCAGGTAGACTACACCTACCAACATGGCTCAGTTCAGCGGTCAGTTTTGGTCTGGCGGCCAATACTTGTCTTCCAGCCCACTCTTACATTATAAAACACCGTTCACCGAGGCAGTCGGTGATTGAGCATACACAACACTTGTCCCAACCACTTCAACTGATGAACATTTACTACTCCATCAATTGATCTGTCATCATTAACTATTACTCTTTTCCAAACACAAGCATTGATAACTCGAGTGTCCCAGTGTTAGGATATTCACCAAATATCCTAAGAATACTATTTTTAGAAGTACAATCCTATTGGTCGATTTCTATTTATCAAAATTATGATCGTTCTAACTGTCAAGGCCAAATACTTCAATGTTGCCTCTTATTGGTCATCTGGACTGTCAATGTTATTCAAATGTTCTTTTCTATTGGTCATCATAAACTGTCTATGTCACAGACGTTGATGCTCTTTCTTATTCGACCTTAATGTATAAATACGCACTATCTGAAAGACTCAATAATCCCGTTTCTCCTGCCTACCTCTCTTCTGTATTCCACCCAATAAACAACTCCATCCCACGGTGTTGCGTTCTGATATCTAGGAGATTTAGAAATAGAATTTTGGGTCGTATTGGGATATTTGAATTGGACGCCACTAGGACTGAATAGCTATACGTAGCAGCGTTACAAGACCCAGGATATACGAGCAATGCTTTGAAGACACCTATGATCGAATACTAGTAGTAACCTACAAATATTCTCTACCCTGACTGACCATGTAATGATGTTGATTAGTATGAAAGTTTATAGAGATCAATAAAAGTTATTAATATCATGAACCAGATCGAAATTAGACAAATCTATTGAAAAAAACCACTGGACAAATACTTCATCTTAAAAATAATGATAAAAACACGTTTGAACTTTACTGGTCATAAAGCTTTTCACTAGAATCCGATATGATTGAATAATTCACTCTAAAAAGTATAACTCATTTAGATATCAATTCATGATATGAATTGCAAAACATTATATGAAATTCTGATTTTTTTTTCAAAACGAGAAAATTTACAAAACTGAGTAATGATTAATAACTTACGACGTAGTTGTATACTATTGCTATCATTTCCAGATGGAATACATTGATTTAAGATATCCTAGTTTATTAGTTTTACAAAAACAAAGAAAATATTAATAACATAAATATTTTTACACATTTTTGAAACCATGAACCGATCAATGTTAGAAACCTGGAAGCATTGGACGGCCGTTTCGTCCTGGTATGGGACTTATCACTCACGAGACTGAACAGTGGGAATACGTGACCAGTGAAGTTCAACCTGTTCGGGTGTAGATAGTAACTACAGAACACAGTGTATGAGGTTGCGCAACTCCGTGCATTGATCAAAGTTAGACATTAACACCGTCAGATACCGGCTCAGTGGTCCGACGGTTAGGCGTTCGCCTACAATACCGAAGGTCCTGGGTTCGAATCCGGTGGGGTGCAGGAGTCGTGGATGCGCACTGATGAGGAGTCCCATACCAGGACGAAACGGTCGTCCAGTGCTTCCAGGTTTCTAATGGTGGTCTAACATTGATCGATTCATGGTTTCAAAAATGTGTAATTTAAAAATCTTCACAACCCCGTAATATAAATTTTTTTCTCAATGACAACTTTGTTGCAAACAACAAAATAGAAAAGGGATTAGTTTTTTCAGTGTCTTGTTAGTAAGAGAAACTGTCTCGATTATTGTATACTTAGGTCAGCATTAAATTCAAAACACTGATTGGTCTCTTACAGACTCACTGTCGGAATTCTAAGAATCTTCGCTGAAATCTATTAACCATTTCTCGATTAAACTTCGTAGACTGATCTCACATCTTAGTTTGACGAATCGTAGCTATTTTCCCGCTTATGCCAACACCAATCGACAATATTGCTCATCGATGTAGACGGGAGTTGGGAATGCATAATACAGTCAGTCACTCAGTCAGATGCAACGTAGAACCTCGTACGTAAGTACATCAGTTCATGTCGCCATACCACAACATCAGCACAGAGATGTAATTGTCAATTCAAATCCAATAGTAGAGGAGGTAGTAAAGGTATTAGAAGTAATCGGAGAGATTGGGATTAGAAGATATTATTCAAGAAGTATGATTCAGTGAGAAAAGTTTAGAAAGTCAAAACTAGAGGTGTTGAAAAATCCAGAAGATTAGTAGGATTTGAGAGAACACAAAGAATAAATGCACCGGCGCCGTTGCGAACGGTTTTGAGCCATGTCATTCAGGGTATCTAACCATCGACTATTATCATCTCGCGGACCCCAACCAGTTAGTCGACAATTACCGACATGGCTCAGTCCACTAGTCAATGACTTCATGGATTTTTGCCATGTTTTGGTTTGGCCGCCCCTAGCTTTCTTCCAACCTATTCCTACACTACAGAACAAAGTTCGTCGAGGCAGTCGGTGGTCGGGCATACGCAACACTTGTCCCAACCACCTCAACTGATGAAGTTTCATTACTTCATATATTGATCTGCCATTCTTACCTAGCACCCGTGTCCTAATAACAGCGTTGCTCACTCGGGTGTCCCACGATATACGAGCAATGCTTCGAAGTCACCTATGATCGACAACCAGTAACCTACGAATATCTTCTACTCTCACTGGCCATGTTTCACAGCCATAAAGTAGGACGGAGCAAACTACTGCACAGTACGATCGTCCTTTAGTCAGCAAACGGATATCTCGCCTACGCCATGAGTGACGCAGGTTGGCAAAAGCCAATCGAGCCTTCTGTATCCGAGCTGAGATTTCGTCAGTCACCAGGCCATCGGCACTGATGAGACTCCCCAGATATGTGAAGCGGTCTACACGTTCGACTACTTCACTCCCTCTATCACTAGTTCAGGTGCCGATGCAACCCAATCTTGAAGCAACATTTTGCATTTCGAGGGTGAGAACCGCATACCGAACATGTTTGCATTGTTGCTTAGAGTGGTCAGAAGACTCTGCATTTTGTCGGCGTCTTCACCAAGTAGGACAATGTTATCGGCATATTCTAAGTGAATAAGCTATCTCGGCTAAAGCAGTTAGGTAGTGATAATATTAGCTCAAAACATAGTATATATGAGTTTGCGATTAATTAGATTGGCAAAAATACAGAACGCCTACCTCACATTGTTTTAAAACAATTTCAAATGATTTCGATTCACATAATGCTTCATCCCAATATATTTGATGATTATAATCAATTTCTGGTTTTAATACAGAACAACGTAGCAATGTACAATAAGATGATAAACAGATTGTTCGACTAGTACTATAAGCATTCAATTTATGTCGATTACCAATATGTAAATCAAATGTATTTTCTGTGTAAAATTGTTTACCACACATTTGACATTCCCAATTATAATCAGAAATTTTATTTTTCATTTGTTCATGTATAGCATAAATATCATGTTTCGGATGAAAAGGACATTGTTCCATCATAATGACATTAGTATATTTAAACAGTGGGAAAATAATCTTTCCTACAATTAAATCAATTATTCTATAAATTTACAATAAACTTACCTCATTTAAAATGGAACGTGCTGTACGACTTTGTGCAATATTACATTTATCTAAGATATTAGTGTAGATTGTGGAGATGGATATTAGAATTAAACAACATGCTGGCAATATTTGTGTTCGACAGACTGATTGATCAATAACAAAACTCATTGTAACTAAAGTTGATAATATCTACAAGCATGATATTAAGAGTTATAGCTAGAAAAAATAATCAGAATAAATAAAACAAGTGTTGATAGAATAAACTGATCAACATGAAGACTTTTGGATTATCGAATATTAGATAACTAAAAGCTATAACCATTGTAAGCAATTTAAGTAAACTTTAAAACTTGATTATACACCAGAATGTTCCTGAAAAATGAAGTCACATATTGTGACTGACGTTTGTCAGTTGATGAATAGTTTTAGTGTTAAAATAAGAATAGTAAGAAATAATAATGACCGATAATTTAAAAACAGCTTTAGTTGAAATCTATGAAGATGAAAACCTTACAGTAGACTGAAGAGCTTCAACACCTTAATGTTTCACCATTCAAACATGTCACCACTTAGTTTTTTTTACACATCAACCAATCCAATGACCTACGCGTAGCACAATCAGAATATGTACAAAGACACAAGATAAACTGACAGAGTACCAGATAATGTTTTGCTAAACTTATACTATACAACCAATCTTCATAGATGATGTACGAGATTAAAAACAATGTTGCAGATGGCTTGTAGCTAAAACTCATGATCTTGGTAAATTTGGTATTTCTAAAGCCTTGAATGAAGAATTTGTGCAGGATGAACTATTGGGGTGACTATGCTAGGGCCAGGATTATTAAGCTCTGAAATATTACGGTCAGTAATTATGGTTAGGCTTTAAGGTTGAAAGCTAAATTCGAGGAGTTTTAGAGTTGGGTTAGATTTTAGAAAACACAGAGCTGAGAACTAGAGTCTGACTTGATTTTATAACTTTACAATTATTATTTCGCACTAATAAGTTTACGATCCTACTCTTGTAATTTTATCGCTTAACTTTAGTCTACAGCTCTTAAACTAAGGTTGCAGTTTTTATCGATCGCCTTTGATTGGCCAATTTTGCTATCATGCCTAAAATCGTCAGCATAGCATAGCTTAACCTAACACGTGTAATAAAGATTGCCTCCTTATGGTTCGTTGCGTCCAGATAGCAAAGTAAGTTATCAGCTCAGTTAACCAAAGTCGCTTTGGGAAATGTCCGTATGTACTGTCCAATAAATGGGGGTCTAGCCACTCAGCTGTCTAATTCTAGTCAGCTGGTTGTGAGTTTGAATGGCTTGTGATTTGAATGAACACGTTTGTTCCAGGGCAGTAGGGTTTCTAGATACCAACAGCTATCACATTACCTTGCTGCAGATCAGCTAGTTGCAATGTGGAGAATAATAAGGAGAAAATTCTAGTTCTAATATGAATAAAATTTCAGAACTAAGTAAACCAATATATAACTTAGTTTATTAATTGGTACTAAAGATTGTGAGAGAGGACCCAATTGTAAGCAAGGAAGAGGAAACAGAGATAATGGGCGAGATAGATTAATTGAGTGATCCGAGGAGATGGCAATGATAACAGCTAGCAGGTCTCCGACCAAACATTTATTCGATAATTTTGAAGATGAAAGTCGCTCTTACTTCAATTTTTTTAAAAACATGGTGCGATTTATGTTTGTACATAATGCTGAAACTCAAACTTACATATCATGCATATCTTGGTTTTTTTTTGTTACTTGACCTTCAGTTTGAATTTCAGAAACGACCTTCGCGCATTCCAATATCCAATCCCTTCTTCACGAGCTAGTATATTACAAATGATTTATTTGCTCTCGATTATTATTCTTTCTGTACGTTGTCAGGTATTTGTTAGTGTTCAACGAATGGTAGTCTGGCCAACGGACTGCACTGATTCTAGTTAGTTGGCAGTGGTTTGTGAGATTGTTTGTCTCGTGAATTGGATGAATACGCTTGCTTCAGAGAACTAGGGTTTCTGGATACCGGTAGCTATCATGGTACTAGGCCAGATATCAGTTAGTTCCAGTGTGGAAAGTAATAAGGAGAACAGTCTTGTGCTAATAAGAAGTAAATAAGTGAATTATTCAGTCAAGTAGTTGGTATTGAAGATCGTTTGAGAGGGTGGAAGTGTAATTGAGAGAAAGGAAACAGAGATAATAAGCCAGATAAATTAAGTTAGTAATCTGAGAAAACGACATTAGTCACGAATATGAGGTTGCGAGACATGCATGAAGCATAGCAGGTCCAGGAGTGAGACTATAATAGGTATGTGAATACGTGTCTATCAAGTCACTTTTTAAAGCTGTCCACTGAGAGGGCTATAGTCATCTCCGACGGAAGACCGTTCCAAGTTACAACGACTCTTAATGAGAAAACGTGTGCCCACGCTGGGATGGTTTGGAGTGCCTAATATGTCGTAAGCCACAACCAGGTCACCTCTGATCCTCCTGTAACTCAGGGGGAACAATCGAAAGTTCTGGGGTCTATCTTTGTAAGTTTTTGTCCCTCAACCCTATCACCCATTTCGTTTCTCGTCTCCACACTCGATCCAAGAGATTTGTCTGCTTTAAGGAGAGGATGTGCGACGACGTTTTGAAGCTCAGGGTGTGGGCGTACATATGTCTTAAACAGCGTTAGGAACAATTGTAGGGCGATAGCACCAAGTCGCCTTCACATAAAGTGGAGGATTGCATTAGCTTTGGCCGCATAGCCTGTATAGTTTGAATGGTGTGGTTGCTTTCGGTGGTCATTAAACTAAAATCACGCTCTGAGGAGACATTAAACAGCTGACTTCCATTGAGAGTGTAAGTCGTCTATGTCACATTGCGCAGAATGTTCATAACGTCACATTTTGCATCGTTTAATTTTGAACTGTTTTTCACTGCCCAGTCGCTTAATAGTTCTAAGCTAGTTTTTAGGCTCCATTGAATCCCGGTCGCTTCTAATGGACCTCCAAATCTTTCCATCGTCTGCGTAGATAAATGCCGCTATGCTTATTTTAGCCTCTGGTCTTTACAGATTTTTCGACTGCATATTACATTCATTCGGCGAGACCATTATTCCCGTGTGTTCTACCATGGTTTGTTGATCCAGGTCAACTGTCAGTTTTGTGCGCTTAGTTTGGCCTCCATGTTGTCATCCCATAGTTCTAGGTTTGCTCTTGCAATACCTAAAGGATCTTGAGAGGACGTTCTTCATGCTCAACCAAGCCCGAAGTGCCTCAGTTAAGTCTTCCTGACTTCTGAAATGCACAGCCTTCAGACGTGGTGAATTAATGGTGGTGAGATGTGATGAACGAGGCAGCCGGGAAGTTGTAGTTGCCATGATTGTGTGATAGTCTTCGCCAATATTTCACGCCATGAGCGTGGGCTTCATCCAAGCTACCACTAACCAGCTCAGAAACCCTTTGAACTACAAAACTGGTCTACTCTTAGGTGCTGCTCGTGCTGACCTTAGTTTGTCCTGCCTAACTCGGATCGGGGAAGACAATTCAACGGAGAGTTTCTGGGGTGTGAGGAGGATATCTTCGTCAAATTTTGCTGAGTCTAAGGATACCCTCATCAGAGATGGCTTTCATTTGGCGATGTTCTGAGACATTTTTTTCCGGGATACTGCACATTCCTAGGATTGCGCAGTTTTTTCCCATTGCTCTTAATCAAAGGCAGCCCTACCTTCTAGTAGGCTACCCTCCGACAATGAAACAATAAATATAATTGTAAATTCAGTCTAAAGTCCTTGTCACTGGTTGGTAACATGTTGCGAGTTTTGATGTTGCTGTTTCTCTTTTTCACACTAACCCAGAGAGGCCTGTGGCTCTGCTAATGTTAATTTTTTGTCTCAGTGATTCTGAACTGCGAACAGATTAACCAGGACCACAGACAGGGGTAACTCAGCATGAACCTGCATCCCTGTCAAGGCACTGCAGTTTCGCAGTGACAGTGAACCCATGTACTGCAGAAGTCGCAGAGTCACTTGTTTTGAATGAGATAGCGCAAGCAACACAGTTATCTTTGCGAGACTTCTGAACGGTAGGCTTTGTCTATTTGCCTTCAAATGACTTTTTCTTTTCTTGCTAACTAGTCTTACTAGGAGCAAGAATCTGAAGAGTATGACCTTGGTTTCTTTGTTGAAGACCCAGTGGAGGTGTTTTGGTCAAATCCATGTCGGAATTCATACCTCTACTGGTTTTCCTAGTTGTTATAGTGTTAAAAGTGGTAGCAACCCTAATACTTGACATGATACGTGAGAGATTGAGAAATCAAAAAAACAAGAAGATCGGAAAAGGAAAATAAGCGGAATGGGAGTTTTGGAAGAAGGAAAATAATATTATTAAATATAAACTACGCAAGAGTAGAACCTGAAAGGCGCTCAAAATGGTAACTCTAGCTTATACCGTTCTAGTAAGCAAGTAAGTAGAAGGAGAAAAGGCGAGAGTGAGCCGACCTGTCTAACACCAGTCGTAACTCAGAATAAATCTGTAAGCTGCCCACTATGTAGGACTCAGAAACTCATTACCCAATAACAGTTCTTTATTGTGATAACAATCTTCTAAAGTTCTTCAAAGTGTTCAAGAATATTCAATTGCTTTTTCTTACTCACTCATAAGAGTCATTTTTTATATACGAGGGAATTAATATATAACAACAACTTCCACTCAGTACAATTTATACCAGCGAAACACAATGTAGCAGTTCGGTCCTTAGTCAATCAGGTTTTCACCCAATCTTTAATATGGTGTGGCAAGACTTTTGAAAAGTGAGAGCATTGAGACACCTCAGTAGTTCTCATGCTAATTCAGATGTTTCTTTGTTATCTCCATGATATAACCCTCTTTTCGGTACTCTGATATTCAACCTCCTATCCAAATAACTTAATAATATAACATACAACACCTTCGCAGTTACTTGTACATATAACTTCAGTGCTTCAGCGGGTATGTCGTCTGATCATGGTGTTTTTCAATCTTAACTTGCCTGATGAGTCTGCTAATTTTTGTTGATGTCTGGTTATGATCTATCAGAAAGTAGGCTACTTTATCACTCGGAAGGCTGGGTAGGCCCGATTTACTAAGGCTTTCTACCAACCTGTTTCACCAACCTTTATTATGAACAAATGATTTGCCCTTGTATATTCCCCCTCAAGATTCCTAGTTATTCAAAATATTTGGAACTAGTCTTCCATAATTTCTGTGTTCTGTTTGCCATGCTTTCCATGAATTATTATGGTTGCCAGGAAGAAAATGTACATTGGGATATCCGAAGAATCCTGGGCGTAACCACCAGATACCATAAAATTTAACTTCTACTGCGCAGTTTATGCAAACAAATTTATTTATTGTTTTCAGGAGTTCTTGGTGTGGCTCTTAGTGCTGCCAAGTGCACATACAGGGTCTTTCCTTCATACGGGATTGGAGATGGGAAATTCCTAATAGCGGCTCTAGATGGTCAAAGGATTATGAAGGATAATTTCGATGCTCCAGCTTGTCACGTTTAAAAATTTCAAACCTTACATACGTAGAGCTCTGCCTGAGTTATTTGATTCCAGACGAATCTGCGCCCTTTCTAAAAGTAAATGTTTTTATCTGGTCCTTCAAAGGTTTAGTTAGAAACCACAAGAACACTTAGCATTTAGGTGCATAAACAGTATTAACTTAACTATATATGTCGCTTTACCTTTTGTGTGGTGTTACTGATTAACCATGAAGTGGCTGCTTAAACTATAGATTCTGTCAAAGTCACATCATAATCCCTACTAACCTGCCCTGTTTTGTTGGCTAGCTATGTTTTTCGTGTGAACGTTTGAGGAATATGTTCAAGCTGGTAACAGAATACCATGCTTGTTACAAAAAGGACAAATTTATAGTGTGTGCTACCACGGCTGAGATATGCAGTCCCAATGGTTCTTTCCTCATTGATCTTTATTCACCTTCACTCTCCTTTTTCGAGTATTCTATGGTCTGTGTTCATGTTCCGCTATAGGGATTAACCATTTTTATTTTTGCCCAATTATCAATACGAAACACGTCCAACAGGATACTGGGTAGGAAACTGTTGGGGACATTTGTAAGATGAGTAATATTTTAAAGTTACCTTGTCTTACAGTTTATGTAATTTAAATATAGCGCTCTGTGAATGAATTATCTGGCTTGGAGAACACAGCACAATCAAAGGAATCTGCTTGTTCTATCAGTCTTTTTTGACAACTTGGCACAGTGGATCTTTAGACACAGCTACCTAATCCCAGTGAAAACACTATCATAAGAGTTCACAAGCTATATATCTAGCTGAACTTCAGACATATGTTTTGAATCTGAACAGCTGGCATATTCAGAAATTCCATAAAATTTGCCGCAATTAAAGTTCTTCCAATGTCCACTTCAACGTTAACTTACAATGAGTTATTATAGTCTTTTTTTAAGTATGGTTGTTTTTGCAAACCTGAATGATTACATGTACGCGTCAGTTCAGAAAAAACATCTTGATCCTCTCGAACTTTTAGAGTCTGTCTGCAAGCGCGTAAGGTTTATATAACTCAGAAAGTTTCATTAATAATAAGCACCCTGAACTAAGCATGACCCTGAAATCAGAGTATGGTGTATGAAAATCTTATCCACATCTCATAGAGACCTATCGATCCTCGGATATAGAAGGACTGGTATGGAGTGTTGTTTTCTTTAAAAATATTCGGAAAATAAGCTCAGAAGAACTAACCAACAGGGTGCATGAAATGACTTACAGAGCTTTAGGTGAAGCAGTTATTAGTGATATGCAACAGTCGTGGTGATCGAAACCATATATGAGCATGTGCATTAATCTAGAACCTCCGTATTTATCACACCTTAAATCTATCTCATCGAATAATCTCGCTTATCATCATCTTTGGTTCCACTATAATGATTGCAATTCAGTCTACTCATAGTTTATACCATCATTTAAATCCCGTCATTATTCATCTATTTATTTCCGGCAACATTCATCCTCCTTCAGTACTCGAATTTTCTCTTTTTTATCTTGGACATCGTAATTACTAACATTCTTCTAGGTAGTTCGGTTGTTATTGTTATCCAGAAGCACTAATTCCATAAAACAAACGCACTAACTCAGATTACAGAGCATACTTGTCGTCAGAACTCACCAACCTGATCAGAATTACTGCAGTTTCCTCGTTGGACATTATTAAGGGGGTCCTCGAGAGTTTTCCATCATAGTTTACTAATATTTATCTTTTAATGGCCTAAAATACCTAGGTTTGTGCTTTGAAGTATCGCTGATACGTTTTTAATTGACACAGAAACCCATTAATTGAAAGCCTCATCTTTTCCGTCCACAACAGTTTAAAATGTTGAACAAAAATGTCGCGGTTTGCATGTCTTGTACGTCACATCACGTGTTTCTCTCTCTTTTCTTATGTAATGCCTATTTTAAGGTAAGACACTAAGTAATCTTTATCTTTTTCTTCTATACTCAGGACTTCATTTGCAAATGACTTTGATATCTCAGGAAGCTCGTGAAATAAACCGTTGAAAAATTATTTATAGTTTGTTATTTGGGTTTAATCAGCATCAGCATTAGAGACTGTAAGAAAGACATGAAATTCAATAATTCATAATGTTTTTTTACGTATGTAGGAGTTGTATTAAGCGAACGAGGTGGAAAACTGTACCATACTTTCATGACGTTTGAACATTTGGGCTTGATTAAAGAGTTGTGTTCAGTATGTCATCGCATGAAGTGGGATTGTCCTACAAAGATACAATCAAAATCGATTCCTATCGCTCTCGAAGGTTAGTAATTTTAAATAAACTTTTAATCATGTGCAACACATTATTACCATATATGCATCTTATCATATAAAACATTTCAAATGTTAGTTTAAGTAACGCAACGTTTCGGTGTATCGTTCTGGAGTCACGTTTTGCTATTTTTCATTGAAAGTTTTTACTGATTAACCTTAGTCAGTACCGAAATTTCAAACTAAAGGTCTCTTATTTCTAAACCTCCAAATTTAGGAAAAACTAGTCATATATTCTTATTATCTGAAATATGTAATTTATTTGGAGATTGCCACTTTACTTACTCGTAAACTGCTTGGTTCCGTTTTATCAAATATGCTAGTTGTAGCTGAATTGCGTTCAACACATGAAATAATGTTTGATTTAGGAATCTTTGATAAATTTTTAACTGGTGTGATTAAAAAAACTATCAAGGTATGCTTCCGTTACTAGATGCTGTTCATTTGAAGCGAATTGTCTTCTTAGAATTCGGAGTAATCTAATTTCAACATCCAGTCTAGACAGTACAATAGTTTCACTAGCTCCTTCAGTAAGATATGAGTATTTAAATGTATAACTCAAATATGAGTAACATTTTACGGAATATTTGGAGCATTTTCTCTTCATCTCCTTCATTTCTTATATGCATATGTCTTCAATGATATTCAATATGTAGACACATTGGTTTTGTAGATCGATCAAAAAACTGGTTGTGACAAGACTGATTTATATGCCTTGTATATTTTTAAGTGTTTTTGAGCGTTCACCAACTAAATGTTGTGAAAACATTAAAGTAAGCTCATCTATTATAGGTTGGTAGATGAATTCATTACAAACTCCATCATTCAATTTTCCAGTTGACCTATAACTTTCACTTTGATCTTTCCAGGAAAAGATATTGTTGGGATAGTTGAAACGGGATCTGGCAAAACAGGAGCTTTCCTTCTACCTATAATTCAAGTAAGTTAACTATCTAGCCTGAAAGTATGTTACAGTCTCAGTGCTTATGTACAATAGCAAAATGATACGTTTATTTCTAATAGTTCCTTATTTATCGCTCATTTCCATGCTTCTAATCAAAGATACTATCAATCAATCAACAGCATCAATGTAAATAATCTTAACCAAGTATTATACACACTCTCACCATAGATTTTCGATATAAATCGTTTGCAAGGAATAACCTATCTGTTAAAAAAACACTAATACAGTGTTAATCTATGCAACAGGTTGCTTGATTCAGTGGTACGATGTTTCTGCCTACTTCTCTTTTAGTAACCATATACTCCTCACACCTAGAGCATATCTCATACCGATGTAACTGATGATTGGTATTGCAAATCCCCGTATTTTTTCAAAACACGAAGGCAGTAATAAGAATTAGAGTTATACAGTATTACTAAACTACTGAAGATAACTGAGAACTACTGCTGAATTATATCACTCTGAAACTGGCTTCCTACTGGACTAAATAATGACGGCTGTGTTCTTCTGAATTTATAAGTACACTTCAATATTCTTCATAGTTCACTGACACAACTTGTAAAACCAATAGAAACAGAGAAACATTAGATATCTGTCTCATCTTCGCTGCGTGTTCGTCAGGAAAATCAGCAGGGCCTGATAGGCTTACCTATGAGATTCTTAAGGTTATTGGTTCAGTTAGATCGACTCAGATCTTAGGTAGAATCTGGGAAACGGTTCATAACTGAAGATATTCAAGCTTGCTGGCTAGAAAAATATAATCCAGTCACCAATTTGAAATCTAGGTGATTGTACCAGTCTCATTAATGAGTTAATACTTCATCGTCAAATTGGTTAACTACATAGTAGTTTCACTCCTATTGTAGTAAAGGAGAACACAGGTGAGGGCAACCGAATTGTATTTAACGAAAATTACAGAGTTACTCAGTAAAATAGGAAAACCATATCGTAAACGGTTAATTTGCAAATCTTCAATCCATCATCATCAATCCATTGTCTGACATTTCACTCACTATTCATGCGTTTCATACAAATTCCATTGTGTTGCCCCATCTTCTGCTGCTAGACATTACGTTTTCACTCACGTCATATACTACTTATAAGTAGCGCGCACCGCACTATTAATACCTCAAAAAAAATCAATTAACTATCATCAGTTTACAATGAATATTTATTTGAATTGTACAAGCCATTTGGTCTATTTTTACTAAAGAAATTCTCTTTTCTGTAGTGTCACAATCTATATATCAGTTTTATGTATGTTTTATTTTACTGCACCACTCATTCTTATATTTTTATAGCATTGGATTAAATCTGGTCAACCAGTTGGTTTTGCATTAATTTTGGCGCCTACTCGTGAATTAGCTCAACAATTAGCTAATGAAGCTAAACGTTTAGGACAATATAAAACAAATGATGAGTTGGAATTTCATTTAGACGTGATTCTTCTTGTTGGCGGTGAAGATATGGTTGATCAAGCGTTAAAACTTGCATGGAGAAGACATCATTTTATTGTTGGTAAATAAATGTACACTCTTTCTTTTTATAGGTTGAATCGCTTTGTTTTTTCTAATATGTATTTAGTGAATAAGTCAGTCAGTCAGTTGTAGCCCGACCGAAGCTGCTACCTTGACGTGGTGGTCGAGCTTGCCTATCTTGATGACCCAACCGAGCTATACTGGCTGGAACTTATGTTCCTGAAGGTTCTACCATGACAGGCAGGTCGATTGGAGAACGATGAGACTAAAAGCAGCTACTCAAGGTCTGAGGGCGATGTCGTACTGCTGACTGTGATGGAGGGGTGTGACAGCAGTAAGGTGTTTCCCTCGGACAACCAGCATCTACAGCGATCCTGCCTTCTCACAAGGAAGGAAGGGTTAGAAAAGGTCGACCTTAAAAATGTCACACCTAACCCTACCTCACGGATTTCCGTCTCCTTGGGTAACGGTGCCCACTAAGGGCTTTCAAGAGCGTAGCTAACACTCAAAAAACTTCTCATCAAAAGGCCTTGCGTGACTGGCCTGAAGCAGTTGTCCCTTGGACTCTGCGGTCACGCACCTAGGTCTTCAAGACCAACACTAATTTATAAATCTTTTTCAGGTTCCTCAAGAAACAACCTTCCACGGTGTGGGCAGCCGGGAAGTGATAACCGCCCTCATACCTGTAACAGCACACACGAGACCAAATTGGTCAAAATCAAATCCTTCCTACAACCCCTATTTAGTGAATGAGTTATATGGAAATTGTATTATTTCCGTGGTTTAAATCACAAACTATTGTTAGTTAGATCACCAATAGTAACATCGAAACACTGAACAGCTGAACAGTCGTTTAATCCTAGTATACAACTCATCAGTGGGGTCCATCCACAACCCCCGCCCATGGAAATCGAACACAGGACGTTCGGTCTTGTGTACGAACACTTAACCTTCAAACCACTCAGATATCATCGTCCAAGATCATGCTTTGATTGATGAAGTTGGACATTAACACCATTGGATGCTGGCTCATAGTTCTGGCTGACTGACTGACTGAAGCTTTTACGAGAAATTCATTCAGGGATTAAAGCATTACATTAATTAATCATTAGATTGTCAATTTTATTATTTGACTTTAAACTGTGTTGTTGTGTATTGTTTAATGAAAACAATATCCTAATTAAGTGGGGAGGGATAGTGAAAATGGATGTCCAGCTGTGAAATTGAATTGGTGTAGTGTTGAAAATATTCATTTTTAACTAATAGATTTTTGCATTACGGGGTTGTGAAGATTGTTAAGTTACGCATTTTTTGAAACCATGAATCGATCAATGTTAGACCACCATTAGGAACCTGGAAGCACTGGACGGCCGTTTCGTCCTGGTATGGGACTCCTCAGCAGTGCGCACCCAAGACTCCTGCACCCCGCAGGATTCGAACCCAGGATCTTCGGTATTGTACGCGAACGCCCTAACCGTTAGACCAATGAGCCGGTATCCAACGGTGTTAATGTCTAACTTGATCAAATTCACGGAGTTGCGCAACCTCATACACCACAGTCTTCGGTAGACACTGCCTACACCCGAACAGGTTGAACTTCACTGGTCACGTCTTCCCACTAGAACTTGGAGAAGATTCCTCACGAAGCTAGCTAGTCACTAGTGAGCACAGGTAATTTGCATTACGGGGGTTTTAAATAAACTCTAGTGAAGTAAATAAACCGAATTTAATCACTAGTTAACATCAAAATTATGTCATGAATGACAGTTGAAATGTCATGATAAGATATAGCTATGTGGTAGGCCAGCTACAACGTACATCAGTTCAAGTTGCCATGACACATTAACACCAAAGAGATTGAATTATCCATTCCAAATCGCATAATGATAAAGGTAATAGTAGTATGAACAGTAATCGGAAAGATTAGAGTTTTGAAGATATTATTCAAAGAGTATATATAATCTAGTGAAATACATTTGAGAAGAGAAAGATAAAAGTCACATAGAATCCAGAAGGTTAGAATTCGAGGGAACACTAAGAGAATAGATGCATCTGCACCATTCAATAGATGAAGTAATGAAACTTCATCAGTTGAGGTGGTTGTTGGGTCATGTGTTGCGTATGCCTAACCACCGACTGCCTCGACGACCTTTGTTTTGTAGTGTAGGAATAGGTTGGCACAAATCCATGCAGTCATTGACAATTAAGTGGACTGAGTCATGTCGGTAATTGTCGACTACCTACCTGGTTGGGGTCCGCGAGATGATAATAGTCGATGGTTAGAGACCTTGAATGACATGGCTCAAAATCGTTCGCATTGGCACCGGTGCATTTATTCTTTGTGTTCTCTCAAATCCTAATCTTCTGGGTTCTTCAACAACTCTAGTTTTGACTTTCTTAACTTTTCTCACTGAATCATACTTGTTGAATAATAATATCTTCTAATCCTAACCTCTCCGATTACTTCTAATACCTTCACTACCTCTTGTACTATTGGATTTGAATTGACAATTACATCTCTGTGTGCTGATAAGGTATGGCAACATGAACACTGATGTACTTACGTACGAAGTTCTACGTTGCATCTGACTGACTGACTGACTGACTTGTAAGAATACACTTCATATATCTTCTTCATGACATGTTCTTAATTTTGACAATAAATTATTCAACTATTTTCTACAATAGTTCAATCAATATTAAGCTAATCAAAGTAGATAAGTTATTTTAGAGAAAAATACAAAACAAACATTATTCACACCCGAATAATTTGCCCTACCATACCATATATGAACGATTTAATATCATATTTTCATAACGATAATATCTTGTTAAACGTTTTGTAAATTGACCAGATTTTTTACCAGCTTTTAACAGATTTTGACATATTGAAAATGATGATTGATCAAATTTGATTGGTTGATTTTTAAATGAATTAGACAGATGACAATGATTGGATAGATGAGGAGAAGAATAATTGAAAGGTGGTGCTTCATTTGAATTGTTCGTAGTAACCTTGATTTAAGAAAAGAAAAATAAAGGGATATAACACAAAATGTGATCACAAGGTATACTGTTACGCATGCACGTAAACATGTCAATTTGATAGGTTTGAACTGTTACGACTTTATCTTAGTCGGAATACGAGGGCGAGGATCGAGAATCCGGCGACACAACATGCTACTCTAATCCGAGTGTCCCAATCCCCATTGAGTGAAAGAAGAAGACTTGATATGAAGTAGAACATGTATTCTACAAGCATCCAGAAAGTACGAGGTCCGAGTCCAGAAAAGAGCCAGGATCCCGGACTAAGGATCTGGGTCCGGGTCATAAAACGTTGCAGATAATGCGTATTTATACATTTTGGTCGAAAATACGAAACAGCATCGAAGTCTGTGACAGTGTCCCAACCTCCATTGAGTGAAAGAAGACTTGATATGAAGTAGAACCAGTATTCTTCCAGTAAAGAGCCAGGATCCCGGAGTAAGCATCCGGGTTCGGATCTGGGTGATAAAACGTTACAGATAATGCGTATTTATACATTTTGGTCGAAAATACGAAACAGCATCAAAGTCTGTGACATTGACAGTTAAGGCGACTATTAGGAAACAACACTGAAGCACGTGACATGGATAGCTAGGACGATCATAATATTGACCAATAGAATTTACACTTACAAAATGATTCTTCGTAGGATATTTAGTGAATATCTTAACATATACTTACTTAAACACTTGTTGACCTTTGTGGAGTATAGGTCGCTGAGCATGATTCTCAAATTCAACTACGCCTTTTGATTTCCAGCAATTCCCAAGTGATGTATTCATTCTTTTGATGAATATGCTTCTAATACCTAGTGCAATATGTTTCGTGGTTTGTCTTTTTTCCTGTCTTTAACCATCTCCTGGACCATAAAATCTTCAAGTATAACAGTATCCTATCCCAACGATAATAATCATAATCATAATAATTTTCTCTCTCTCCCATTTATTTCTTACTGAATTTATTTTTATTTATTTATTTTTTCCTCCCAAATCAGCAACTCCTGGACGTTTAGTCGACCATATGAAACAATCATCATATTTTGTGACACAACAATTATCTACTATACGTCATTTAGTCTTAGATGAAGCTGATCGAATGTTAAATATGGCATTCGCGGATGATATTGATAAAATATTGAATATATACGGCAAACCAAAATCTGACAGGAAAAAACGTAAACGGAAGAAACAATCACTTTTAGCACAATTAGCTGATGATAAGAATAATAATGGTAAGTTTATATGCATAGTGTAAGTCTAACTTAGATGGATATTTCTTTGAAATGAATGATTATGTCATCGAATGTCCGGCTACTATTGTAGTGAAGGAGGAGAACACAGGTGAGGGCAACCGTGAATTGGATTTAGTCGCAAATTACAGAGTTACTCAGTAAAATAATTGGAAAACCATATCGCGTAAATCGTTGTTAATTTGCAAAATATTATCAGTTCATCATCATATCGAACTGGACTGTTCCTGTTGCCGAAACATCATCAATCCATTGTCACCTCTATTCATGCGTTTCATACAAATTCCATTTTTGTGTTCCCCCCACTCTTCCTTTCTTGTTGATCTTCCCCCATCTTCTCTTCTGATGTCAGATATTACGTTGACGCTCACGTCATATACTACTTATAAGTAGCTCACACCACAGTCGTCCCCCTCTTTAATAAGCTGTCGTAGTAGTCTTTCAAAACAGGGCCCCTGGTCAGTTAATATCACCTTCCGTATTCCGTGACACGCTACAATATGCCGGATTACCACTTCGGTCATCGTTCATGCGCGCTGGTCTCGGATGGAAACGACATCTATCCAACGTGTAGCGTTTACCAGTTCCCGATGCTGGGACACGGCGGCAGGCACACTCTCGAATAATTGCGACGCCAACAAATGTGCCCCCCACTCCTCACGGCTCAATCTGGTGAGCTCCACAGCAAGCACCAACAAGTCACCATCAGTCGACAGCCGCGCCAACCGGAACCTCTGAGGCTCCTCCTCCCTGTCCACTGGGCTGTCGAACTCCGTCATCAACCGCCCGATGACCGTCTCCCACGCCGTTTCCCCGGCGGCACCGTCCAGGCTGTCGCACACCGCCTTCGCCTCACCTCCCCGCAGCGTCCCTAGCACCGTCAACTCCGCCCCGGGCCCCCACCGGCTCCACCGTGGCCTCAAACTCCCCCAGGAAGCTCCGCAAATCTCCGTCCTGCAACTACTCCGGCCACGGGTGCTCCTTCCTTCGAGCAGGCAGCGACACCAAATGTAGTGGAAGAGAACACAGATGGGGCAACCGCGAATTGTATTTAGTCGCAAATTACAGAGTTACTCAGTAAAATCATTGGAAAACCATATCGTAAATCTTTGTTAATTTGCAAAATATCAGTTCATCATCATATCGAACTGGACTGTTCCTGTTGCAAAACATCATCAATCCATTGTCACTCACTATTCATGCGTTTCATACAAATTCCATTTTTTTGTTCCCCCCACTCTTCCTTTCTTGTTGATCTTCCCCTATCCTCTTCTGCTGCCAGACATTACGTTTACACTCGCGTTATATACTACTTATAAGTAGCTCGCACCACACTATGGCCGAGAGTTGACAGAGAGAGATAGATAGTTTGCTCATCCTCTCAATGATGTTCCTATATGTGGTCATGTATGCATGTATGGCTATTATCAGAAAAGTCCTACGCGTTGCCTTCTCATGGCGGAGGTGTTTTTTACAAAATTAAGGTTGTCAGGTACAGATAATCCATCTAGGGGAGTTGGAAATCACTCGTTCTTAACTAGTAGTGTACACGGTCCTTAGAATCATGATGGAATGAATGGCGTATGAACCTATTTAATGATGACCGGCAGTCTTCTGACCAGCCTAAGCAGCAATGCAAGCATGTTCGGGATACGGTTCTCACCCTCGAAATGCAAAATGTTGCTTCAAGATTGGGTTGCATCGGTGCCTGAACAAGTGATGGGGAGCGAAGTAGTCGAACGTGTAGACTGCTTCACTTATCTTGGGAGTCTCATCAGTGCTGATGGCCTGGTGTGTGACGAAATCTCAGCTCGGATACAGAAAGCTCGATTGGCATTTGCCAACTTGCGTCACTTATGGCGTAGGCGAGATATCCGTTTGCTGACTAAAGGACGAGTGTACTGTGCAGTAGTTCGCTCCTTCCTACTATATGGATGCGAAACATGTCCGGTGAGAGTAGGTGACATTCATCGATCGCTTGTCGTCGATCGTAGGTGTCTCCGAAGCATTGCTCGTATATCCTGGGACAACCAAGTAAGCAATGCTGTCGTTAGGAAACAAGTACTGGGTAGGGATCAATAGACGAAGTATTGGAATCTCATCAGTTGAGGTGGTTGGGACATGTGTTACGTATGCACAACCACCGACTGCCTCGACGAGCCTTGTTTTATAGTGTAGGAGTAGGTTGGAAGAAAACTAGGGGCGGCCAAACCAAAACATGGCACAAATCCATGAAGTCACTGACAAGTGGACTGAGTCATGTTGGTAGATGTAGGCTATCTTGTTGGGGTCGGCGAGACGAAAGTTACCAATATTTATCGACTTTGAAGGACATGGCTCAGAATCGTTTGCAATGGCGCAGGTGAATCCTCCACTCTTTG